CAATATGAAAGCAAGGTCATGATAAAGCTGTCCAAACTTAGAAATTCAAAGCTAGGGAAGACAATTCTTTGTGTTGTGCAAGGAAGTGGCACTCCATAAGCCACGGGAATATCCTGCTGTAATTTCAGATGTTTGTGAAATGGGCACAACAGGGGAAGTAGAGGTGTAAATACAGTTCAGCCTGTAGAACTTTGAGAGTTTCAGAAGCACAAGAAATGAATTACAAGTGAGGACAGTTGTATGGAAAGATGAGCAGACTGTTACACAGCGTGTGCAGGCAGCTGCAGAATCCTTGAAAGGCAAATGTTCCAGGTAAAGAGGGTTTTGAAGTGGGAAGTCCTGAGAATTCAGTAACACTCAGTAGTGCTGGAATGTGACATTTCACCCTGCAGGATAACTGGCTGCTGGAGTCATAGGAGAGCTTTTAGGTGTAAGGAGCATCTTTTCCCAGAAGTCTGCAAGTTTATTTTAGCAACTGATAAATGACTTCAGGTTGATAGTGGGTTCTCAGAAGACTGAGGAGACTGAATGTTTTCCTAAGGTATCACTACAGAGAATGTAAACCATCATTTTGCATTGACAGCATCTCTTGTCTTAAAATCGTGCATGGCGCAAGGGCCCACCTTGAGTCCTTGCAGTTTCTAGATACCCAAACATCAGTGAACATTCACAATTCCTATTCCTGAAATAATGGGGATTGTACTTTGCCACCAAAAGTGGAACTTAACCTCATACTGGTCTCAGTATGAGCCTCATACTGGCTCCTGATTTTGCTTGTCATGAGTTTCCAAAGACAAACACAGATTTTAAGAGCCTGTAGTTCAGTGTTTTGACAGCTTTTCTTCTTACACAGAAGTATTTGGCCCTGTTGGCTACGCCTTATTTTAACTATGCATTTCAATTCAAATTTTCAGGTACTTTTTAAATGACTGTAAGTAGTAACATTCAACCCTCTTAATTGCAGTCAGTGTCTTACCTTGTTTTTTCTGTTGAATTCAAAATTGTGCTGTAGAGCACAGAGTTGTTCTCAACAGATGGCTCCAAAAAAGATGAAACAGAGAAAGTTATGTAGGCCAAGGACCTGTGGCCTCATGTGAGCTACCTTCAGATTGCAGTTACCTGGCAAGAAGCTTCTCTCTTAAATGCATGTGTTCTTCTACTCTGTTTTCTTGAGGCACTTGTGTGCATTTTACTTTCACTGCTTTCTCCTCAATTTCTTGAGGAGAATGTTGACTTGTTGACTTGTTCTGGATTTTGACAGCTGTGTTCCTCAGTTCCCAAGGTTAGATTTCTCCTAGGCTTTAAATGCTTGTAGCCCCACCCCATCGGTGCTGTCCTGGGGTAGAAGCTCCTGCCCACCTGTGAGTGACTGAAGAGCCATCACTGGGAATCAGCCAGGCTGGGAATAACTGGGAATCCAGTGATTCTCTGATCTCTTGCTGCTTCAGCCTCCCTGCCATTGGTATTCTCACTTCCCCTTGTCTGATCCATGCTTTTCGTGAAGCTTTTTATTTTTCACAATGGTGCACTCTGAAAACAACTTGACTGCTGAATGTCAGCAGGGGTTTCCTGTTTGTGAATGACTTCTTAATTCCTTTTTGCAGTACTCAGTACCAGTCAGTCATGGCTCTTCCTCTTCCCTTTGTAAAAATGTGCTGGTTTACCTCCTGTCGAAACAAACTCATTCCACAAGAATTTTTCAGTACACTTAATGTCTATTTCTGATATGTACACTTCAGATTCCTGAAGTTTTATTTACTCAATCCAGTGTAGTGCAGAAAATCCTTTGACATTTAAACTGTCATAATTTTTATGTACCTATGTTGGATCAGAAAGAACAAATAGGGCAGGGACAGCAGAGGCAGGTGAGGTGATGGTTTGGAGCCAGGGTTTAGTGCACTCAGGGCAGATCTGTGCTCCAGGAGCCTCTCTAGCCCTGTGCACTCTTAAATCTCCCTGAAAATGCTGGAGAGCCATTACCCTGTGGATGCCTTGCACTACTGAAACGCATTTTTGGAGATTTTTGTGAAGGAATATACAGCAATGCTGTATGGTTACAATATGGTTCAGTTTCACTAGTTTTAGATTGCTGTCAGCAGCATAAAATTTACATATATTCCTGCACAAAGGCAGACTGAAGAGAGACGTAGTTATGAGTCCCCTGCACTGGTATTGTGTTGCTTACAAATTACTTAGAAAATTGTGGGGTGTCATTACATTCACTTAAGAGATTTTTCTGCCAGCTGCTTTTGCTAATTTCCTCGTGCTTTGCTGGCAGTCAGGGCAAAGGAGGGTGAAATATTGGTGGTAAAGGAAAGGTCTTACAGCTTTTGTTAGGTAACTCATAGAGAAATTTCAGAAGCAGGAGACTGCAAATGACTATTCCTGTCCACAGGTGCTGCTGTGATGCTCTCCAGATAATGTGTCCTTGCTGAGTCAAATATTTACAAATATCAATTAGCTGTATTTTGATAAAGCCATTTGAAAGTTCGTGTCATTGAATATCAAACTCTTGTCTTTTTGATCTAGGCTCTTTGTTTGCTCTTTTAAATTGAAGCTTGGTTTGAAAAAAAAAAAGAGAAAGTTAGGATTGAACTTCAGGGTTTTTCTTGACCTACGTGCATGCCAGGTTTCTGCACTTCCAGGACAGCTGGTGGTGGCAGGAAATGTTTTTGGACACAGGAATTCTTCTGTCTCTGCTGTCAGACTGGCCCCAGCATGGCTGTTAGAGGGATCTGGGACTTAGTATGGGCCAGGGACTATTTCCAGGAAGCATTTTCAAGGCAGCAACCCATTTTAAATTTTAGTCTCATTAGTGGTCTGTGACAGCTGACCTCAGCATTAGGAAGAGTTTTGGGGTATGTCTCATTTGATTGTACAGTACACTCTCCCTGCTCAGGACCTAGTGATAAATATAGCACTGTGCTGTGCTATTGCACTGCAAAATTCTGTTCACCAGACTGTTGGAATTTCTTTTCTTTCAGGGGCAATGGAACTTGTGTTCTGCAGCTTTTCACCTCCAAAATTACTCCAATGCTTAATTTTTAACATACGACTTTGTGTGTCAGCTTTGAATGTAATTTCCTGCATTTGGCATTTCAAGTCAAATACTTCTTTCTACAGCTATAGGCACTAAAAGCACTTGGCTGTGCTTTTTTAGAAATAAATTTAATAGCAGGATATTTGGAAATAATTTAGAGAAAGCAAGGCTACCAAGTGTACCTGCCACATGCTGTGATGAGCGGAGTACCTCGCTGTCTGCTCTGCTGTGGTATCTCATGGCTAAAGGCTCTGTTGTTTCTGTGTTTCTGCATCTTAACTCTGTTCAGCTGAGCCAACCCTGGTGCAGTCTTTCTGCTGACTTAGTAGCACAGCTCATAAGGAAACTCTGAGCTCCTTCAAATTCAGCCTTTCCATGGCCTTTGCAACTGCTGTGTGGGGAAAAAAGCTGTATTAATTCCCAGCACACTGGAGAGCAAGGCAAATGGAATAGAGAAAGTGAATTGTTTTCACATTAGTATTATTCCTTGGAAATGTGGGAAGATATTTCCTCCACTATGTCAGGGAGCAAAGGATCAGATGCGTTTCCATTGGGTGGAAAAAAAAATATTCCTTCCTTGTACAGTAAATGAGTTGTGTGAACAGTTGTGTGTGCTGTGGGTGGCCACCAGTGCAGAGTAAACCAGTTGTTACTGGGACTAGGAGGAGAAGTGTTTCCTAGAGTCTGGAGGCACACAGAATTCAATCCTTACTCTTTTGAAGCTGTTGGAAGGCAAGGTAGTACAAACCAGCTAAATGCTACTGATGAATTTCCAAGATTTTTGTCTTGACACACAGAACTGCTGGGGAAGGGACTTTGCAAAGGGACAAATGCAAGTGGTGCAAGTGCTTTATTTAAGCACTTGAGGCTGTTGTCTGTTCACTTGTCCTTGTATTGTCTTTTGAAATGATGGTAATATTTTGTCCTGGATTTCAAAGCTCAGCTCCTTCTTCTTTCCTATAATGGTGCTTTGTGCATGCACTCTGCATTGCCTATATTCTTTAACATATCTGTGCTGTAATACTTCAAAGTGCTTCTGTTAGAAACTGGAAAATGTTTTTTCCAGGTGCTAGTCACATTTTCTGGGCTTGTCTTCCAGTTGTAATGTAAGAGGTTTAGTGCATGACTAAAGAATTTTCTGAAACTCCATACAAAATGTTTTATAACACTGATGTTACTGCCTCATACCTGACAGCATGATGAGATCGAATTAGTAAGTGCTCAGTGCAGAGGGACCAGAGCAGCTGCTTACTTACAGTAGTACTGCTTTTAAACTTTCTCCACATCTTCAAATTGCCAAGTGATTATTTTTGCCAGCGTTATTTTTGATTTTTATGTACATCAGAATAGCAAAGTGAACGGTGTGGGTATAGAAGCGGTTGCAGGGTTGTGTAATCAGCGTGTTGATAGTGTGTGGATGAATGTATGTGGTGCATGCTGTGGATGAAGAGCTGGGGAGAGGATATTAACTGTGATGAAGTCATGAACCCAGGCGCCCGCTATAGGCATCTGCAAACACTGGTTACCCTGGCAACAAGTGGGAAGAGGTTGGAGAGGAAAGCTGGAGTAGGTTGTTGCATTGAATTGTTTCTTCCTCACTAAAGCAGGGAGATGTTGAAAGGTATGATGTCCCTCTTTCTATGTCGTGTACTATTTTATATGTATTTAGGCAGTTGTTGGGAAAGGGAAGGCTAAAAAAAAATACTTGTAATTCAGCTCGATTGGAGAGGAACTTTTCAGTATCAATAGTGACGTGCATTGCAAATCTGTGCTTTTCTCTGTGTGCTTAATTTCTGTGTGTTGTGTTGTGAGAGTGCTAAATGGGTCTCCAGAGTACAGTACCTGCCCCATCCTCAGCCTGGGGACAAGTGTCTCTTGCATATTATATCTTCAGAAACTGGTTTTATTTTAAACTGGGTTTGTAGAGCTAATGTTTGAAAACCTGCCAAGACAGTACAAGTACAGGGTAATACCAAAAGATTTATTAACTGATATTAAATCAGAGCTTCTGAACCTTCAAAATGTGCTGCACTTATATTCTGGTGTTCTTGCACTTGTGCAGAATATCGTGGCTCACGAGTTAGTGGAGTCTTTACCTCCCTGGGGAAAGTTTTTATTAGAAGAACTAGGACATTATGTTCAGGGCTTTAACAGCATCTTCCTCAAAACAAAAATTAAAATATTCTCTTCAGAAATCTGTTTTAGACAAATCATTAAGCGATCCAACTGTATATTCTTGATTGTCCTTCCTTGTTTTGACCTTTTTGTCTGTAATGAAAAAAGAACAAATATCTATGCAATATATTAAAGTATAAATTATGATATGTATGCTGAAACAACCAATTCTTGCTATTTTCAAGAGGCCTAAAAAATATTTTGTTTATTAACTTTATTTTTAACTTGGTCACTTGAGTGGCATTGTTTCTCTTTAAATTTAAAAAATTAAAATTGCACGGTCCTGAAAGAATAAAGTGTATTACCCAGAGAATAGAATTCTGTGACTGTACTGAATATTTCTGACAGCAAGGGAATAATTAAGAGTGGTTCTTGATTTCTATTGTAATAAATGGCACATTCTAATAAAATATTATCAAACATTGTTTCCAGAAGTGCAGTGATAGAAATACAGTGTGCTGGACTCCTGTCCTTTCATTTCCATTCACTTCTACATTAAAAATCGCTGTCAGATATTTTATTCAAATATAAATCTAATTTTACTGCACTGTAAAACTGCATCTTCAAAACTTGAAAAAATATATTCTGGAAGATGGAGATGTGTATGACGGTGCTGATTGCTCTTGAGAGAACATAGACTGATACCAGTCTAGTAGCATCTTCCTAGAATTAGGCTGCTCAAAAGAGCTTTTGTCAGTGGGCCATAATTTAGTTAAAATAAAGTACAGCAAATCAGTTTAAGCAATGATATATCTTATAATCAAACAAATATTGTAATCAGCATATGAAGTAGAGTTTTGTCATTAGAAAATAATGCAAATCAGAGCTCTTGCTCTGTATTGTGAGCTAATAAGTCCCTAATATAGTTAAGTAGTAGAGTAGATAAAAAACTGCTCTCAGTTAGCAGTATAGTTGAGGCTGTAGGATTTGCAGTTTATTTGTGTATAGTTCTGTACCTGCTAAGTTAATTACTGGTTTGTATTCTGCGTTAATAAGTGGATAAGAAAGATTCTGCTAGTACTTACCCTGGCTGCTTAAGGTGTTGATTCTGGAGGGAGTGCTGGAGAATGAGTTGACTTCTCTGTCTTGTGGAGTAATCTGAAATCATCATCATTTTCATCCTGCTTTTCTTCAGAGGTTGTAATGTTCGATCAGGTGTCCTGTAGCCATGTCAGTGTGGGAGTGCTCTGTGCTCAGACTGTGGGATGGGATGGGATGGGGATGTGTGTGTGTGCTGGCCTGGGGCTGCTCCTTTGGCAGGGTGGGGTTAAATCCCTGTGTGCTGATGAAAAGGGCAGGCAAAACCCAGGGGTCTTTCAGCTGTCCTCTGCTTCTTCAGAAGGGAACAATGTTTTGGGATTTTCCTGCTTGAGATTCCTACAGTTAAGCACTTCCTTCTGTGTTGTTCTCAGCTGATTTGGTCTATTAATACATGTACAGATGCAAGTATCATTTTCCTACTTCCAGTGCTGTATTTTGAAGTATCCAGAGAGAAATGTGCAAGAGAGTGCTGAGAATGGGAACCACATTCATCTGCATTAGGCTGTTCCATTTTGTGCTTGATAGTGAGTGGAACATCTCAGAACAGGAGCTGCCTGTGAACTGTGCTGTAGTGGGTGACCTTTCCTTTTTGGGAGCTATTGGACACTCCTCTACAAGCAATCTCATTTATCCTAAGGCTTATAGGAGCTTTCAGCTACAAGTCTAGATGATCAGGGTTTTTCTTTACCTATAAAAATTAGTGGATGAAAGAACAGCCTGCTTTCCTGAGCTTTTTAAAAAGAGTTGCATCTTTAAAACTGCATAGATCACACTGTTAAGCTGTGATGTTTTCTGAAACAGTTGCTGCAAGGGGAACTCTTGTACAGGAGAATATTACCATGGTAAATTCCGAAATCTTCTCTATATTGGTGGAGATGGAGAAGTGTTTTCAACACTTGAGGGGGTGGGAGCAGTTTTCCAATGAAGAAAAGTTAAAATATGTATTCCTTTTTAAGACGTTGCATGGTCAAAATCCCAAATTAATTTAGAGCATTGCCATACAAAGAATTTTAGAGCAAATGAGACTGTGACTGTCCACTGCATGTGCTGATCCATGATAGCTGCCTGTGCAACCTTAGCCTGTGGAAATAGGAGGTGACTGAAATTAGACTAGGCAGCCCTTTGTTTTTTGAAGAATGTCTTCATTTTTAAGAGAGAGTAAGCTTGTTTTGTGTCCATAGCCTTGAAGGGGTCACTGCCCTGCCCCACAAGGGCACTGGGAAATGACTCCTGCTATGTACAACATGCAGCTCAGTGTGTAAGAAAGCTGGTTTAACACTGCACTCATTTAAAAGCAGGTACAGCTGGTGCATAACAACAAGACTGTACACACACATGGATTCTGAGTTACAAGCATCCCAGGCTCTAGAATAGCAGAAGGTGGGAATTTTAGGCTAATATATTTATAGAGATACAGTGGATGCATCAGTGAAGAGTGGGCATTCTGTATCACCTGATACTGGTTTCATGGAAAATGGATTTGGCCCTGGTATTTGATATTCACAGTAATGACTCTTCCTTAGCAGTCAGCTGTGCTCAGTGTAGCAGGTACCTGTGGCTGGAGATCAGAGAGGGCCCCATTGATCACAGCTGCTCCCTCATTAAGGGTGATGCATTTTGCTCTGCACGTGGCAGCTCTTCCTTCCAGCCCTCACAGCTCCAAAGGAAATGCTCAGCTCTCTGTGTTGCTGCTGATGTGCACAGATGACAAAATGTCAACCTCAAAATTTTTTTCCTTCGCTTTTTAAATGGCATTTACTATTTTTTAAGAGTTTGAATTGATGGCACTAAGTATGAAAAGATTGGTTTTGCCATCTTACCTTGCCAGTATTTAATTTCACTCAGTCATGCTATGGTTTAGAAATGGAGCAAGGGTTAAAAGGATTTTTCTAGCTGTTGGTTAGACAGCAAAAGGATTGAGGCTTAGGAGAGAGATCAGGATGTCTCTTAATCTGTGAATTATATTTCATTACTAAAGAGGAAGAAGAGCTTGAAGTGCCTTTGGAGGGGCTTGGATTTCAGCAGCAGGAGTCACGGCTTTGTCAGCAGATGAAAATGGCTACTGTCGCACCATCGCCAGAGCCTGTTTGCTGGCAAGTGGAGCCCGTGCCCAGCACAAATTCGGGACATGTTTGTACCCCAGGTAGGAGCTTCCTGTGCTTCAGGAATTCTGAAGTGGGGTGGTGAGCTGTGCATCGTCTGTAGGCACTGAGTGGTTGGCCAGTTGGGATTGATATGCCTCAGTTTCTCTGCCTGCCTTCAGAGTTTAGATGCATTCCTGGCAGTGCCTGAGCTTCCTGGGCAAGAGCCCTGTCATCCTTTAGTGGTGATTCTGCTTGGTGCATGTCTGGCATGCTAAATACCATGGCAGCAAAGCCAAATAAAAAACCTCCAGTACCAGCTTTCATGCAGTATAGTTTGTGCATCCTTTAAAGCAGAATTTTTCTTTTAATTGAAGTCTTATATGGGACAGTATGATAACAGTTTGGATTACACTGTTGGGATATTTAGCAGAAGGAAATGGTTTTTCACAAAACTGACTCAGTCTAAGTAAACATAAAAACCAGCATTACAGCAGTTAATGTGTTCTATCCCTCCTCTGCCCTCTTCCCAAGAGAAGAAGTTGGTGTTTTAATTGAAAAAAAATGTAAAACTGAGTATTTCAGGCAAGCATAATCTAGATTTTCATTTTTGGGGTATCTTGTTTTTACTTATTTGTGAGAGCAGATTATCCTGTGTCTGATTACTGTCTGGAAGGATTGGCTGCCCATGGAGATGGGTCACTGACCTTGATGGAAAGCCATGCCTCATCTGTTGTGGCAGCTCTTACATTCCTGTGTGCTGTTGAGAACATGCAATTCAATTTTACATCCCTTAGTAATTTGCTCTACTGCTGCCTGTTTCTCAGGGTAGCATTAGGAAACTGGCATTTTATTTTGCTGTGTGTAAGTGGCCATGTCCATTCCCAATATCTGCCAGAGATGGATTTGACAATACTGAATCTGAAAAAAATGTACATGAATACCTGTTATTATTACCAGACTGAGAGAGGCTCTGGTGTTTCCATTTATATAGTTTATAAAAAATCATTTGGACTCCATGTGAAGCAGCATTAAGTAAGAAATCTCTTGTAACAAATACTCAGTTTTTAACATAATAGCATTGTCATCTACTGGTTATTGTTGTATATACATAATTTTGCAGTGTGATAGTGCCTGGGGAAGGGCTGGATCCTTCTGATGAGATGTACTCAATAAACACTCTGGGAAAGCTTGCACTGTAGAGGCCCCAAGCTGAGACCCTTGGGGAGGATGTGGAGATGATGCTAACCAGTGTGGGAGCAGTGGCATGAGCACACCAAGGAGGGTTTTATGGCAGGATTTGTAGTGGGGAAATTTTGACAAGTGTTACCATATATTTGTCTCTATATATTTGTTGAGGAGTTGCTGTCTCAGTAATTGAAGAGACAATGCTGGGGTGGAGGAAATGAAGACTCATAAGTGAAGCTGAAGAGCTTTGTTTGTTGCATTGCAGAATGGAGAGACAGGAGAGGATTGCATCTGACCCAAGTGGGAAGATGGTGTTTGTAGTAGATGTAGATGGCCAGTGCTGCACTACCATTTGTTGTGCTTGGTCAGGTTGAGTTTCTGACATCCAGTAAGATATTTTTTAATTACTACTGGTTCCCAGTTGTCATTATACAATCTTTTTTCTGGTTCTAAGCTTTGGTTATTGCAAGGCTTGAAGAAAGGCCTTTTGAGCCATCCTTACATCTAACAATGAACTCTTCCCTCTTCTTTGACATCTGAAATCCTAGATAACTTCCTAACATATTTTTTCCTTGCTGTTTTCTGTTTAGCCTCCAGTTCCAAGCCTGAACTCAGCTCCAGTTCACAGACTTTGGGAAGTCAGCAGAACAAGACAGATGGCACCCGAGTAAAAACTCGCATTCTGCCCAACATGCCAAAGCTTTTCATACCTTCATCTGTCACCAAATTTCCACCTGAGATCACTGTCACTCCACCCACTCCCACCCTCCTTTCTCCAAAGGGCAGCATTTCAGAAGAGACCAAGCAAAAATTAAAGGTAATAAAAGGGAACCAGTAATTTTTTAGATTATTGTTTTTATCTTAATTCTCCCCTCAATAAAATAACTTGTATGAAAGAAGCAACAGTTCATGCCCCAGTTCATAACCAGAGGTAGATAAGTAGTGGAAGGAGGTGCTAGCTGTTACCAGCAGGAGCCAGTTCTTAAGGGACTGGTGAAATACTGGCTGTGGGTGAAATGAGAGCTATTCTAGTCCCTATCCCTTTTCTGAGGGATTTGGAAAAAAAATTACAAAAATGGCTGAGTGACCTTATGCAGCCATTGCAGTTCTTAGATTAGTGGAAGCCACCAGAACATTAACTGTGGGGAAGCCTACTGGTAAATGTTATGTTGTTTTAATTAGGTAAATAGGTGGATATATCAACACAAGACAGGAATTGAATGTTAAGGAATAGCAACCAGTGGGCTTTTGTCCCTGTGATCATGGGTTTATCCTGACTATTTAGCAATATATTCTCTCTCTCTCTTTTTGGGATCAGTCTGCTATTTTGTCTGCTCAGTCTGCAGCGAATGTAAAGAAGGAGAGCCTTTGTCAGCCAGCTTTGGAAATCTTAGAGACCTCAAGCCAGGAGTCCTCACTGGAAAGTGATACTGATGAAGATGATGACTACATGGACATATGAATGAATTCTGGCCATCATCAACACCAACCACATAACCATTCTTCTTGTTGCCAGCATCTCTGGAAGCTGAAACATCTTCATTGGCATTACTCTCCATTTAATTGGCATCATTGTGTTCTTCACTTTCATTACCTTTGTTATCACCACAGCCACTTGTATTGCCTTCAGACTCTTCGCCATTCTCCCCATCATGGTGCTTGACAGAAGGAAGATTGATTGTTTACCAGGCACTTGGTAAATCTGGATCACGCTGTCACCAGGAACTTCAGTAAACACAAGGATGTTTTGAGCTGCAGTTCTTATCTCTCTACTGTTCCTGCTTCTCCAAACCAGAGCCTTGGGAGTTGCTCCGGTAGCTCTTTTCTATAGTGTTTTCCTCCTTTTAGTTGTCTTGTATTTTCCCCCTCTAGCTAAGTTTTTCTCCCAGTAATTCAGCAACCTGATGTCTGTCTAACCATGCCATGATTAATCCAACAGCTCCTTTTAAGGTGGATGGAGTAGGAAAAAATTGCTGAGCTGGTAGAGATTTTAATTGCATGGAGAAGATCTGTGGCTTTGTCATAGGGCAGGGAGGGTGAGCTGAGAGTCTGTCAGCTCCTTCACTCTGCTGGGGGCTTGGTTGGAATTTGACTCCTTCAAATAGACAAAAGAACCAGCTTTTCCAAGCAGACAGAGAGGGTGCTCTCCTGTTTGTGCTCATTTCACACCAGTGTATGAGGTCCAGCAAAATTTATCTACCTGAATGTTGGCTTAAAGAACTGATCTTTCCAGAATTGTCTTACAGTCCTTTCTCTTCTAATGCCTTGGACAAGCATTTTGAATTGGGGGCTAGATGATATTTTTATGGTGGTATTGAAAAAAAAAAAAAAAAACTTGAAAGATTTCAGTACCATTTCAGTAATGTCTGTTTTTTACAGAATGACACGAAAAGGTGTTTTTTATCTATCTGCAGAGGGACTGCTCACAGTTATTTATATGAGAAAATAATGGTAACAAAAATCCTTTTTTTTTTCTACTGAATGTTAACTTTGTAAAATAATGAATGCAAACCATGCAAAAAAAATACGTCACACACTATATATACACCCGCGTGCACCCACACACATATATATATGTGTATGTACATATATATATGTCTGTATATGAAAACAGAAAATGCATACAGCTTGCAATGTCAGATTTCTTTGTGTTTGGGGGGTTGGTTTTCTGTAAAATGCAGAGCTTTGTATAAACTTTTGGGTTTCTTTTCTAATAAAGTTGAAATGCACTGTTGTCTCTGTTTGTTTGAGAGGGCACAAGGTGCCGTGGTTCTGAAAGAGCACTGCTCCTCTTTCTTTTTATTTTTTGGCTGACAAAAAAGGGATTGGAGGGATTTGATGGAGACCCCTTTATTTTCAGAGATCTGCCAGAGCTCTTGGGGTGGGTTTGGTGTGTGTGACCCAGAGCTCAGTGTTGCCACGCTTTGCCTGCAGCAGGTTCAGTTCCCCACTGAGACGTGAATTCTCTTTCACCCATCCTGGTGTCTTTGAAAGCTGATGAGCCACACGAGGAGGAAGACACCACATGGGGAGTGGGGTCACACGGAATATTTGGCTGTACAAATTTGCACTTGATCCATTATTACAGAATGACAAATGGACTGTGGATAAAAAGAAGCTTCAGCAAACTTTGTATTGCAAGGTTATTCTCAAATTCTGGGGGTTTTGTTTTGAAGAAAATGTGGTTTACAAGGAAGTGAGCATGTCCATTTTGGATGTTTTAGCAGCTGTTTGTGTAGCTTGTTCACCTACTATAAGTGATAGGTGAAGTGAGTGCAATTGATACAGAAAAGATGAGGCAAATGATGGTAAAAGCAAACAAGTGTTTTCAGTAAAATGTTTTCAGTGTTTACTCTGATTTGCTGTAGGTTATTATAAATGCAGTGTATAGCATGCTGTGTAGTCACTGCCAGGTAAAAAGCTGAGGAAGTTTCAGATAAGCATGATGTTTAGGTTTTTTAGAAGAAAGCACAGAATGAAATAAAGCAGCTGCTTATGAGAAATTGAAAGGAGAGGGTGTAGTTCTGAACAGGGCTTTTTCACCCAAATGGAATAGATTACACAGACTGTTTGGCTAATGTGTATTCTTAAATGTATTCTATACTTAAAGATCACATTTAAATTTTTAGGTCCACACTTCAGCTTGGGTTTGATGTATAAAACTTTTGATTTTCTAATTTAATGTGACCACTGAAGATTGTTGGTTTTCCTTTATTATTCTTACGGATTCCTTGGCATTAGGCTTTCTGGGCTTTTTCTTCCAGACTTCCTAAAATGCTGGTCTTGAGCTTTCTTTTGAATTCTAGTCCTGCTTTTTGAGAAGGATTTAAAATTTTGCTGGTTTAGGAAAGCTAGAACAGTAAGTGTAACTGTTCCTGCCAGCAACAAGAGCTGAATTTGCTGGACTGCTCTAAAGTCTTTTTAACCTTCGAACTACTCAGCTGTGCAACTTGTTTTATCCTATACTGAATTCTCTTACCTGATTTTCCTTTTTTTTTTTTTTAATAAATTTATGATCATTTTACTCCTATTATGCTCCTGAGTAGCTCAAGGACTTTTTCTCAAGCTCGAGAAATTACTGAGGCTGAACTATACAGGCCATCTCCCTGCAATCCTGCCCTTCTCCTGTTGGCTAAATGTTTTTCAGCTGTTGGGCCTTCTTCAACAAGGGTGTTTCTGCTGCACTGAAGGAGCCTTTCTTCTTCTCCATGTGTGAAATCTCCTCTCTGTAAGTACAGCTGATGTAGTTCTTCAGTTCAAGGAGCCACATTTGGGAGTGAAGATGCCAAGGTCCCTGGATGCACTGAGGTAATGATATTTGTCTGAAGAACCATCCCTAAAGGTACTCAGAGCAAGAACTTCAAATCCTTACAAACAGAGGTATTCACTGAGTAACGAATGCATCTCTTGGAGCTCGGCCATGTCATCTTGTGGAATTATCAAGAGAAAGTATTGCAGTAAAACTGCACTTAGCCATGGCCTGGAGTAGATTCCTTTATTTTGGTCTAATCCTGGTGGTAAGAGCTTGAAATTCAAGCCTGGGCAAGATCCAGCTTACCGAGCTGCAGATCAAATGTAAACACTGCATCTGCCTTCAGGATTTACTGGGTACAACTTGCTTGTGAAATCTGTGTTCCCAGGTGCCTTTCTGATGTGCCAGACAAAGAAATGGCAGCTGCTGTGCTGAAGTTAGGTTGCTCTGGTATGGCTTTGGTTTGGGTTTTCCCTGTGAAGCCATAGGGACAGGAATGTCTGGTGCCTAAAGCAAACTTTACGGTGAGGTCTGTGACCAAGTGGGGTGAGGCTTTCTTTCTCCTTATATATATATATATATATATTTTTTTTTTTTTTTTTTTTTTTTACCTTGACAGTAATTGATTAAAAACCAAATCCTTTTTGACTACTGAAAAGCCAGACTCTTAAGACTTTCAGGCAAATAGCAAAACCATTTTTGTTCCAAAGGAGATGGAAAAATGAATTATTTTGAATTGCCTGTGGAGAGTAATTTGTGGAGAGCTGATATCCTTTCTGTGCTGCTCCTGGGCACTGTCTTTGCACACAGATGTCTTCCAGTGTTAGGGTGAAAGTGTTGTTAAACTGTACAGCACTGGGGTTTGGCTGTTTCACTTCCTGGCACAGGGATTATATAATCCATGTGTAGTTAAGACCATTGAGAATTTCTCTCTCTAGGCAAGGACTAGTGTTTTACTAAGAATTAATTTTGTTGAACACAGCTGTCATTAGTGGCTTCTGCCCACTGTCTGACAAATGCTGTAGCATTTTTTCCAAAAGCTAATAATGTTCCCTTCCACAGCAAAAATAGCAGATCAAGGAAGATACCAAGTACCTCCTTAATTTTATTATGTGCTAGGGTTTGTCAGTTGTTGTATCTTGGTTTTGTTTTGTTGGTTTTTTTTCTTAATTGGAGTGAGATTTTTTCATGAATAATGAAATTAATGTCTTTTGCAGCCAAAATAAACACCATATGGTCAGGGAGAAAGGGACCAGGAAAAGATGAGGAAGGCACAGCAGCTGAAGCTGATAGGAGACAAAATGGACTGAAGGAAACAGGGGCCAGGTGAGAATAGACCGAGTCCTGCCATGGAGGGTGGGATCACAGCACTGTTAACACCACTGTGAAAAGCACAGTATTGGACTAGAAATTCCAATGAGGGTGAAGCATCTGTGGTGTAGCCTGTGTGTACAGTTACACACTGAGCACAGCTCATTTCTGCTCCTGCAGGTGCTTGCATGTTTTAGGGGACTGGGTGGCAGGTAAAGGAGATGAGATGCACGTCACAAAAAGCACAGCAGACATCAATTTTGTGGCCTAGGCATGGAAAGCTGGGATGAAGAGGGTTTGTGCTTGCATTTGAAGATGATGGTAAGAGGTTCACTGTAGGCTGAGTGTTAATTGCCATCTTTCCCTTCCAGTTAATGACCAGAGATTCAGTAATGCTAAGTTGTGGCATTATTTATGGTTTTGGAGTACCCTCAGGCTGCTGTACCACAGGCTGTGCCAGCCCAAGTCGTGCCTTTGTGGAACTCCAGCTGTCCTTGCAGGGCATGGTGGAACAGGTGGGATTGCAGAGGACAGCAGACATCTGGGTTTGTTGGCTTCTGGAGGAGGACTTACCTTCTCTAAAATGGCTCTTTCACATTAATGCTCACAGAATCCCAGGCAAATCTGAGCAGAGATTAAAAGGTGCATCCCCCTGGACAGACATTTTTATTCCTGCTGCTGTTTGTTTAATGCACCTGTGACAATGACACCCATCAGCAAGTGCTTGTTTGACCAACTCCAGAGCCTCTGGTGCAGTGCTCAAAGCTGCCTTGCAGCTCCCTGGCCTCAGGACCAGCCTGTGCAGGTGTCTGCAGGCTGTGGTGCAGCTCAGCCTGCCCAGGGCTCTCCATCCCTGCCTGCTCCGGGAGCACTAGAGGGGGCCCTAGGACAGAGCAGGGAAGGGAGGGGAATAAAGGGCAGGGGGACCAACCCCCACCCGAAATGGATGCCCAAGATCTGTCTTGATACTACTGAGGCTACAGTGCATTGCTGGGTTTGATCCCATTGAGTTCTAAGGGCTTTCTGCTACTCTACCATATGTCCTTTGCATAATGTATGGTCTGACTGAAGGCAGAGGGGTGAGAATCCTCACAGGCTGCTTACAGGATTGTGTCCCTGGCCATGGCAACAAAAAAACAAGAGCTTGCTTTGTCACCATTAATATTGCCACAGGCAGGAAAATAGATCCACCATATACTTGCTTTTCATACAAAATCTGTTTGCCCCATGACTGTTTTTCCTTTTTTTTTTTTTTTTTTTTTTTTTCCTCAATTCCCCCATAAGAAGCCCCCTGGGTTTTTCCATTTTCATAATGTGCAGTATGTTACACTGGGGTGTCATGGGAATCTCCTGCCAGTCAGTCTTGTGTGAAATGGCTCAAATAATGTGTTCAGGGGGAATCTTGATTAGTTCAGCCCTGGTTCATGGCAGTGGTGTGGGGCTTGTGCCAGCAAAACTGGGCCCAAGAGTTGGTGACAAACATGCAACTTGTGGATCTGTGAAGTGCTTTGAGGTAATTCTGTTCAAGTCAAATTCTAATCAGGGATGAAAATGTGTTTGAGAATGATGGGAGAAAGATGGAATGTTCAAGCTTGGATAAAGTCTTGTCAGGCAGTCTGCGTTATGTGGAGCAGCCCTGAGGTGAGATCAGGTCCTGCAGCCATCTGGCAGCTCAGGAAGGGGAGCAGGGATGTGGAGCTGAGGCCACTGACTGCAGATTCGAAAACCAAAGCACTTCTGCCAAGGAGAAAAGTGAAATCACACTTCTGCCTGCGTGTAAGATTTATCTGCACAATTAAATGGTTGTGTCTGTAGCTGGTAGAAAAACATGCCATTATATAATCCCAGTGGGAGGAACACTCTGCAATGTCTCTAAGTGCATTGTCTTACTGAGGGAAACTGCCTATCTAAAGCCAAGTCAACATATATGGTAAAAAGTAGTTTTTGCTCTCAGATTAGACATAGATATCCCCCTCTCAAGTTTTATTTCTCGGCCTATTTTTTTTTATCTCCCATCTCTTTCAGAGACCTTGCAAACAACAGTGAATTCCAGTATAAATGGAATATAAACAAAGTTCATATATGGTATAAGCATATGAGAACCACACTGGAATGGAATTAATTTAATTTTAGTTGAGTGATGTAATAACTACAAGTGAAAGGCCATGTAACAGGGCAAAGGTATTTTAGAAACAGTGTTTCCTGTGAGAATACTGAATTACTACATGTATTACATACATCCACAGTTAGCCTTAGAACCTGCCTCTATATTCACATTGCTTTCATTTTGCTCCTCTGAGGAGTCTGACAGATACAGAGAGCTGTTCACAAGGAATAATATGCAGCTGAGTTTTAGCTGCAATATGCATTGCATGAACTATGATCTAATATAGCACTGAACACATACTGTTCAGTAATAATTAGTAAAGGATGTTGTATGAGCAGAAAAGCTTCATACTCAGAAATGTTCTTTGATTCCTTGTAATTTAAGTCACACCAGAGATTTCATTTCCTTAAATTACACCCTAATGTGTATGAACAGTCACATTTTCTCTTCTAAATGCAGGGATATATATAAAATGCAACTCTTTTGGTTAGATTGCAGTGATAATTTTCCCTTTAAGAGATGGCACTAGATGCTCAAAGAATTGCTTAACTTGTTAATTGAGCCAACATATACTCACCAAGAAACTCACCATGCTGTGTGGATATCAGAAAGCAGTTTGAATATAGAACTTGTCACTTAGGAATGGGTTGGCTGTAATTTAGATCTCCATTAGGCTAGAGTGGGTTAGGGGGGAAAAAAATTAAACTTTAGAATTCTGTAGTGGAAGTTCCGAGCTTACAACATCAATTTGCAATGCTGTGCCCTCAAGTCAGCAGCACAGGTCCCAACAAATTACTTCTGTCATGGCTCTCCCAATAGACACCCTGCTGGAAGTGCTTCCTACACTTAATAAGTAAATGGGCTTTCCTAAAAGCAAAACAAAGAGCCTGAGTGTTTCCTCACAGCAAGCAGCAGTGGTGCAAGGTGATTTTTCAGTTTGGCTTGCTTGGAATGTAATAACAGCTTGGGATTGCACATTGTGAAGTATTTCTGCAAAGAGTAATGGGAGGATTCCTGGTCTGTGATCCCATTGCTCTGCAAGCTGAGGGATGGATGCAGCCAGAAGCAGCTGCTGGTGCCAGGCAGAGCTGCCAGCTCCTGTTTCAGTGGTGATGTGCAGGAGCCAAACAAGCCAAGTGCCTTTCCTGCTGCACGCCTGCATGCACCAGGAGGCTTTGCAATGGCTCAAAATGGATGTTCCAGTGAGCTGCACAAAGTCTCCCACAATGGCACATTTTACCAGGCCTGCACTTTTCATTGGAAGTTGTTAATAGAGCTGGTTTCTGGGTGTAAGGAAGATGGGAAAGCAGTGCAGTAGTGCTGGAAAGCCTGGGAGTTGTTTGAATGCTGGGTGCCTTGCTGTGCCTCCCCTTGGCACAGGGATGTCCCCGTGCAGCTGCCTGGCCTGGCTGGGCCCCTGGATGTGTATTGGCACTGCTGAGCCACACACGCTGCCCCCACCTCATACTTGTGCTGCCCTGACAGTCCATGGGGAGCCCTACAAACTGACATCAGGAACCTGGACTGGTGAGTTTTCTTTCCCAGGGAAAAGAGCCGATGTTTGTGCTCAGGGTCCTGTGGGCTTGACAACTGGGCACAGCTCAGCTGCTGCTCTGCTGCTGCCGCCCTCCAAACTGGGGACTTCACCTTTAGGTATCTGAGAATTCCACTGAAGTGTAAGAGAGGGTAAAGTTTATTAGTCTGTGCTTAAATGCACTCCTGCTGCATTTTATTTTTTAATAAGGTGAACTTTTTGCAATGTCAGTGAAACTCAGGAGTACCCAGAATGTGGTAATGTCCAGGCTGGGTGTGTGGTCATGTTTCAGTTACAACTCAGGCACAGACACAAGAGTGTTTCTTCTCTGGTACTATCAACACATGTGGAAAGATACCTGGAAAGAATATTAAAATATAGAAATGTTATTTCCAAGTGCAGAGTGACCCCTGGGAAGAGGGAGAGAGGAGGAGGACAGTGTTTCTTCTTGACGATGTGCCTGATTCAACAAGGTACCAATACATAAATAGCTCCTCTTGATTTCAGTGCAGACAGCAAAGGGCAGCCTCAGGTTGTGTCACCCCAGGCCTGAGATGTGTACAGTTTCTTCACTGACATAAAGTATTTCTACAACTAAAATTTCCATGGAAAATAGCTGCTTTAAAATAAACAGACTTAACTTCCTTAATATGTGCAAACTCAGAAGTTCACAGTTAACCACTGAAAAATGCAAAATGCCAAGGTAAGGTGGAAATATCTCTGCTGGTAAAACATTCAGCCCTAATTACTTCTCCCTGAAATTAGGGTGGCTGTGGCATATATAGGAACTCTGCAGAGCAACTAGAAAGTTCTGTTCAGTGACACCTGTCTTCATGTGATCCCTGAGACAGTGTTTGCTAGGAATATCATTTTCTTTAACAGCTTTTCTCCCCCATCATCCCCCAGTGGCTGATATTGCTCCAGGAGGGAAATCCTGGTGCCTTTCAGAACAGCAGCAGCAGAGCTGGTGATAGGTTTGGAATAAGAAGGACTTGAAGCTGGCTCATTCTTCCTGGGTTCTGTATCTGGCCTTTGCCAATATTCACTTCCTGCATTTATTTCATGGTAACACCATTGATTTATTGGTTAAATCATAAGTCAGAAGAACTCAGTTTTGCCTTAGAACTTTCCCACTGGCTGGTGAGATTTTCAGTTTATCTTCAATTTTCTGTCTCAATAGAAACTACTTGTCCAAAGACCGTCCCCCCTACCCTAAATGGCCACTGAATTTGCAGTTAGGTCATTTTTATATGTCATACATTGTTTATAATTTTATCTTCTAGCCAATTTAGGGTAAAACTATGGTTTTTTTCAACTTGAGTGATTGAATCTGAGTATTTACTAAGAACCACTCCCATAATTAAGTTAAATGAGAGCAACAAAAAAACTTACCTGGGTTTTTGTGATGGTGAATAACTTCAAATAACTCAGAGTTTCCCATGAGCAGAGTTCTGGAGAGGACTAAAAAGTGTCTGCTCATGTAAGAGTAGAACATGCTCAGTTTTTTTGGAGAATCCTTAGCTCTGAATGCTGAGAAATTGACATAGTACAGCATAGCAAATCCAAGCCTCTGTTCTAATTAAGACTTGGATTTTTCAGTTTTTCCCATTCCCTGGCTGAAATTTCCTGTGTCTTGTAACCATTTAACAATATGTTACTAACCATCCATTATGTCCTGCTTTATTCTCTTTTAGATGAAAGAGCCATGTAAAAAAAAGAATTCACCAGCCCCTGTGACTGAATTTGAGCGATAATGTCAATGGAATTAACACATTGCCATTGTTGAATGGGCTCCTGTGGCTATATAAACATCAAGGTAACACATTTCCAAAGCAGAAGACATTACTACTGTGATACTGTTGTTTTGAGAATATTTCCTCACTGCCAAAACACTGATGTAGATTTAGCATTTTGCCTGCTATGATGAGAATGATGTTGGAGTTGGAAGGGTGGATGCTGCTGCTTTTATTTTTGTTGAATTCTGGTTTATTTGCTGAAGAAAATCTCTTACAGTGTTTGGCTAAACATGGAATGAGAGCATAAGTACATTGAGGTGTATGTAAGATGACCTCTGATTGGTAAATGCATTTAAATGACAGCTCTTTTAAGGGCCTAATTCCATTTCTGAAGGCAACCTTCTGGAAAAGCTGGGGCAGAATGCTCTCAGGAAACCCAGGATCCTTTGGCTTGGGCAGAGTTTCCTCAAGAATAACTGTCTCCCACACTATCTCCATCCATTTACATAATTTTTATCTCTGCAAACAGGAGCAGACTGGGGCTTGAATGCCCTTGGTATGTTGCTGAATGAGATGCAGGCTTCAGTTTTAACTCTGGGGATGTTAAACAAGTTGTAAGGCCAAGCTTGTCAGAAAACCTTTTAATGGTGCTAATCCCACTGCAGATTTGCTGGCACTGTCTCACCTAATGCAAGACAGGACTAGCTAATGAGGATGTGGCACAGAAGTAGTTTGGAACTCCCTGGGTCACAAAATCTGTGAAGATGGCTGCACTGCAGGAAGGCAAAGCTGTTCATGCAGGTAACAATGATGATTTCCTTTATTCTGATCCTGGTGCAAATTGAACAAGACCTGTGTTTCTGCAGGAATATTTTCATTTGTCTTCAGGCAAGAAAAAAATCAGGCAGTAAGTGCTAAACCAGAACCTGACAAGTTCTGTTCCTAAATAACTCTTGTCATGTGAGTTTTACTTCTCTGCAAGGTTAAAACCATCTTTAAACAAAGAGTTGATGGGTTTGCTGTATTTCTACTAATCAGGGACCATAACCCAGGTATTGAAGGGTGGGAAGTCAGTCTCAAGGTTGACCTTAGTGGACAAAAATGGGCATATTCCTCTCCAGGATCCATGGGAAATACCCACTGCCTCAATCAGAGCTGTATCTCTTCTGGTAAAAAGGACTTCAGTTTGCAGAGCTGAATCTGGCACTTCTGTGAACATTAGGGCTGAGACAGAAGAGAGGGAGTATTGTCCATTCCAGTTTGTTGCAAGAGCAGCCCCAGGTTGGATTCCTCAAAGGAAAGGACCTCTCAGCACAGGGAATGTTCTGTTTCTGGCCTGGTTATCTAGGGATAGAAAAGAAAGTTGTGATGGAAAAAGGGAGGAGCTGCCTGTGGCAGGAGTTTGTTAGCACACAGAAAATTACTTGGTGAACCACGAACACTGTGCAGGAGTTAAATGCACAGAGTGAGCATGGTTGTGTTCTTTTCTCTCCCCTGAGGGCCCTTTGAAGCGCTCTGAAGGCCCAGAGAACAGCTCATAAACTTTGTGCTTCAGAATTGCAGAGAAAAGGCTTCTCTCATCCAAGGATCAATCTTTTGTCAGCTCTAACACAATGGCTGGTGGCTTTAGTGTATCTCCACTGTCACCCAAAGGCACTTTGTGGGAAATGTCACCTGTCCCCTCATTCTGACCTAAGCCCTGGAGTGCAAAAGGAGAGTGCTCTGCCAGGCAGTGCTGTTTCTGCTGCAGTCACACCTCCCTTGGGAGTTGATAGCTGGCCTGGTGTGAATTTTGGAGTAGAAATAAAGTTCATGTGTAGTGCTGTGACCCACAGTGTGTCAGTGAGCCTGGGTCCATCCCACTGGGAAGCAGCCTGTTCACGTGCCAGCAGAATATCCACCTGGGCCCTGGATTTATCTGAGGAATCATAGGAATAAGAGAGGAGCAGATCCATCAGAGCCTTCTTTACTGCTCACATGAAAGCAGGATTGCTCTCTGCACTGCCACCGTGTGTGCAAAAAGCCATTAAAACCTGATACAGGAAGGACTTTGTTCCTCTGCAGACAGGCTGCCCTTGCACAGCCGCAGTGCTTTTCCCTGCATAGTCAAATTGCTCCTCTCTCATTTTCATCCTAGCTAATGAAGATAATTATATCCCTTTGTAGAATATTAATCCCTGTGTCATCTGTATGTTTACACCCTGCAGACATGTTCATTTCTTCTTTGAGAACAGGGCCATCAATCATGGAAGTTTTCCTTCACCAACTCTTCTAATCTTTTCTGGTGTTCACCTCATCCAGTCTCCCTCCAGCTCCCCAGTAGCTTTGATAATGAGGTGATAAGAGTTACATGTGGTTTTGCCAGTTTGTTGTACAGCAGACTCACAGAAAGAAGTCCTGCCGCTTTCCTGCTCAACTATATGCTATTTTCACATATGTATCCTCTGGTTATGTTTGTGGTTTTATTTTCAGCAAGGAAATGAAATCACACCTAGGGCAGAAAATCCCAGAAATTACCTTTGTAATGGAACCTCCTTAATATTACCATATCTTTATTGGTAGGTATGGCTGAACATCACTGTTCAAAACAAAAGTTTAAGTGATCTTCTCTTAAGTGAAAATTTGGAGCTGGGGAGAAGAATTCCAGAATTCAGCAATTCCTCCTTTGGACAGCTTCTTCAGAGTATGGTGCAAAGGGAAGAGGAGTAGTTCCCTCTTGGAGAGGAAATACAAGGCAAAAAAAGTCAGAAAGACATACTGGGGGGTGATGTATGGACTTAGATTTCAAATTTTTGCCTCAGGTTTCTAATAATCTAAACCAGCCCTCCCCAGCTGCTGCTGTAGCTCGTCCACCCCTGCCCTGCAGAGCACCAAGCCCTCCAAGTCTGGTGGGTTCTCTCTGCACTGTCAGCAGTTATTTGGAAATGAAGGCCCTTGGTGGTGAGTCCAAATCTCCATCTCAGGCAGGCTCAGCTCACCAAGCCTGAACCCAGCAGCAGCTTAAAACTGAAACCAGTGACTGCAGTATTGGAGGGTGACAGAAGCAGTCACCTCATTATTGATAACCATCTTATCTGTGCTCACAGGAATGCTTGCTCCCAAACCTGACTTTGATTTCCTCCTGCACACTCCCCAGCACTTCTCTGAGCAGAATTTATAAATATTTCTGTTGAATTTACATTGCATTGTTTGTATCTATGTTTGGTTGGCAGGCGTAGGTCAGACTGTGAGGTGGCAGTCATTTAAAAACAGTTTTGCCTCACAAATGCAAAGTCTGTGTTTTTAAGAGTGGCATCTATTAAGTGTATTGATGTTTCAGGGTTAGAGAGGAGAAGAAATCTAAGTCATTTATGCCTAAGTAGATAAAATCCAGTATTTTCAGTAGAATGCACTCATTGCACAGCTCACACTCATTGCACACTTCTGTTATCCTCCTTCCAAGGAAAGCTTCTCTATATAACTGTTCTGACAGGACAAAGCCATGTGTTATCCCTTGGTTTCTCAAGGAATTGCATCCCATATATTTAAATCATTCAGGTGTCTGATGTTCTTAACCACTTAGAAGCATTTGTTCCATATAGTAGGGCTAATTTTTAATTTATTTTTCTAAGCTCATCTATCCAAAATGATGCTAGGCTTTTATATTCACAGCAGGGAACATTGTGAGGTTTAAATATCCCTTTAATCACTAAGGATGTAATAAAAACAAGAGGAGTTCTTTGAGCTGCAGAGTGTTACCCAGGGAAAAATCTACTCTGGAGCTTACAAATGTGAGCTGAAGAGACAAACTGGGCAATAAAATCCACAACTACGGACCAAACCTGCTAAAAGTTGGTCTGTAGCTGCCCATCAGGAGCTGAGACTCGAGGGGGGAAAAGGCCATTCAGCACCTCTAGAGCCATAAGAGCCAGGCCATAAACACTTCACAATCTGCTGGGGAGGGGGAGGGAGCTGGGCTGTGATCTGCCCGCAGTCTGTACCCAGCCCCTGCCTCAACAAAGAATGAGCATGAGAAATTTCACCACGGGAAGAATGAAGGAAAGAAATCTGGAGAGGTGAGGGAGTGCGAGGAGAGGTGGCAGCTGTGTTTGGTTGTGTCAGTTCATGTCCACTTATGGCAGCCTCATCCCAGTGCTGATTTGAGAAATCCATGAAATCTAACAGGTGCTTTTTTTCTATTGTCAGTGGTCTTGAAGGATTCTTACCTTAGTATTGTTATTATGGACCCAAATATCATTTTTCTGCGAGGTGATGAACAAGTTGAGTGAGAAAAAGTACAGCTCAGAGTTTATCCAAGGGCTTTCTCCTTAAAATCCATGTATATTTTCAGCTCTTTGTTACTGACTTTAGACTTGGCTGCAGATGATGTATGTCCCATCAAAATGCTCTATATCAGTTTTCAGAAAGCATCTTGCAGGATGTGCTGCATGAATCTGTCTTGGTGTTCATTTTATTTCTGGGAGGTTCTGTAAAGCTCAGGTCAGGCGTCCTGTATGTTCAGTTCCCTTGCTGCTGGGAGATGGATGTGCAGTTGTATGTATCCTGTGGCTATATAAATGTTTATAGGTTTTTTTCAAAGAAATTACAACTAACACTATAAAAGGAAAATAAACAAGCAGTAATAAAATCTTATTAAAATGAAATGTGATTTATTTTTAAGTGCCCTGAATCAAAATCTGCTGTGTATGGTTTAATTGTTCTCTTGTCATGATTTCTGGTAATGATAATTAACTTCTTCAGAAAGTTCTTTAGAGTCAATAGTGATGTTGGAGGAACTGAGCTCTATCTCTGTAGAGCTCACAGCAGTTTTTATTTTTAAATTCCAAACAGTTTAAATCTTAGGAATTTTAATTTGCTCTTTGAAGGTAGAGCCTCTGATAAGGAATTATACATGTTTATAGATTTCCTGGTTTGATTAGAACCTTACTGTGATGAACAGTTAATGGAAACTTCCCTATGACAGAAGAGAACTGTCTTTGCCAAACAAAGTAACTTGCACCCTAACTTGCATGGTTGAAGTCTGGTTTTTTTTTTTTTCTGTTGGTTTCATGGCTTTACAAATGCCTGATTACTAACAAAAGTAATCTTTTGTGGAAACCAAGGTACCATGACAGTGTATCAGCAATCTTGAAAATCCATGAAGTTTAGATAAAACCTTCTGGTCTGAGCTGCTGCTTTTTTTCTGGAAACATCGGCTTTTTAACAGAGATTGCTGCAGTGTTGCCTGCTGGGCTTCTGCTCAGCAGAGTCCATTCTGCTCAGGGCTTTTGTCTGGTCTCAATTCATGGCTAAGTAAACTGCCAGCAGTTTTTATGATCTGCATGATGCTTCTCTTTGCATATGAGTGTGTGCCCATGTGTACAAATACACAGGTGTTTATAGATGGATGTTAAACCAGAATTACTTTTTGCCTGTTTTCTCAGGCTGCTCCTTGTGGCTGAGAGCAATGAGTTCGGGCCGGGCTGTGAGTGCAGGTGTGGGAGGGAGGATGCAGAGCTGGGAGGGCAGAGCCCGTGTGCAGGCAGGGCTGTGGATGCAGGGCTGGGAGGAAGGATGCAGGGCTGTGGATGCAGGGATGTGAATGCAGGGCTGGGAGGAAGGATGCAGGAGATGCAGGGCTGTGGATGCAGGGCTGTGAATGCAGGGTTGGGAGGAAGGATGCAGGGGATGCAGGGCTGTGGATGCAGGGCTGGGAGGAAGGATGCAGGGGATGCAGGGCTGTGGATGCAGGGCTGGGAGGAAGGATGCAAGGCTGGGAGGGCAGAGCGTGCCCCGTGTGCTCGGTGCCCTTTGCTGAGCTGCCCGCAGAGCTCTCCTTGTACTGCAGCTCCTTTCAGCGAGTTCTTTTTGTGGATTTGAGCGGGACAGAGCGCTGAGCTGTGTCTGGGAAACACAATGGGCTGACAGGAAAACACTGCACCCCACATCAGGAGTCTGTGAGAACTTGAAAGGGCTCTAGACAGACATATTTTGCATTTGACTCTGGACTGCAGCCTTTGAGGCCAAACTCAGGCTGCAGCGTTAAGTGGCCGCTAAGTGTTTCCCTTCTCGTGCCGTGCTGAGGGAGCGCTGGGAGCGGGGCTGGGGATGTGAGGGAGGCAGCCAGCTCAGCTCTGCGGCCAGATACTCAATCCACAAACTGCTAAAGTCTTGTCTTAAGCTTATAATGTATAAATTTTGTCTGCCTGAGCTGCCTTCCCAGGTCCCCTTCCAGAGCAGATCCTGTCACAGCTGCCCCGTGGCCTGTGACCGTCCCCACGGTGCTGGGAGCCTGTGGTGAATTAGCGTGGAGATGTTACCAACAGGCCCCCTCCAAACAGCTGCTCTGCTTTGCCAAATGTCATTTTTGCACTCTTGAGAGCACGGGAAAAATCTGGGGGTGATGCAATATGGGGCTCAGTATGGGGTTTGCAGCCCTACAGAGATCTGCCTTCTGTGGGGTCCCTTGCACTGGTCCCCGGGTAGGAAGGTCTGCATGACACTTGTAATATATCTGAAGATGCCAGATAGCTTTTCTCAGGAAAAAAATAATCAAAACCATAAAAAGGAGGGGAAAAGGTGCCATTTCCCTCCACCAGAAGAAAATGCTGTGTTATGTGAGCTGCTGGAAGGAGCTGGGTAGGAACTGTTTCTTGTGCTGCAGCATGATAGGAGATATGTACCACTTCTTCAGAGGCTCTCAAAACACTCTGCAGGCTTTTACCATTCCTGTAGCCGCCCACAGAGACTTGCTCAGAAAGCTGCCCAAGTTCAGGCTGTGCCTGTGCTGCCCGAGCTCAGCAGCTCTGTCCTGGCCAGCCCTACACTTGTATTTCCCATTTTCTGGGTGAGGTGTCAGGCACCAACAAGGACAAGGAGTCACATGCTGGCACAGCTGTAAGAGCAAGAGTTTCATCAGGCTTTTTCTTTGGAAAAACTCAGCTTTTCCCCATGGCCCCATGTGCATAAATCAGGCTTCATTTGCTTCACAGTGAGCTGAGCCTGGATTTAAGGAGCCAGTTTGTGGATTCTAGAGAATCCGAGACCACTTCATGTTTTTAATGAAGCATGTAAGTAAGCAGGTATCAGTGTAGAGCTATCTGTTTTATTTTGGGCCCTGTTTATGACATGTTGTCTTTTCACTTTCCAGTACTCATTCTGTGCAGATGGCAGAGCATCCTTCACAAAGAGTTGCCAAGATGCTCTGGGACTGTGGCCTCTGTGTGCCAGGTGGGAATGGGCTAAATGAGTCCCATTTAAATGGCAGCAAGGCTTTCCTCACGTTTCAGAGGGGAGGATCTCTTAGATGCAGTTTGTCCTTCCCTGCTTGTGCAGGACCAGGCAGACAAGCCAGCCTCGCTTCAGCCCAGTTTGTTAAAGCTGACATGGTAACACTTTCTCACAGAGGGAAACCTGAGGGGTGGGTACTGCCTGCTGCACCCACGAGCAACAATCCAAGGTAGGTTCTTTTGAAAGGTGACTTTTACATTTCAGCTGTCTCCCAGGCAGTAATTTTGTGCCCCACACTGGAGCTTGCTCTCCAGGCAGAATGCTCCCCTGGGAGCTCTGCCTGGGCAGAGGTGGCAGTGCCACTCCAGCCCCATTAGCCAAAGCCTGACACCTTTTCTGTTCTCCAGCAGCCTGGGAGCCCCGGGCAGCAGCCAGCCATGGCAAGATATCACTGTGCTGGAGAGCTTGTGTACAAACCAGCTCCCTGCAGGGTCCTGCTGAGCAGTAAGGGTTAAACCTTCACTTAAGGTGGGAGAAATGCCAGAAAACATTTGCCTTACTACAAGACCCAGAGGGGAATGTTTCTTTCTAATCAGCTTCTCAAAGAGATGCAAAGCAGAAGCTGTTGGCCTGTGCTTTTGTCATCACACATGCCCTCCCTCCTGCCCTACCTCATCCCTTCGGAATAGGGCAGAGCCTGCTGTTAGAGCTGGGCTCGGCAGGATTGATCCCTGCTGCTGAAATGGGCTCGGAGCAGAGCCCTGTATGCACTGACTTACACGTGTCAGATCCACTCTCTCTCCCGGCCCTTTCCATACCCTCAGCCTCCAATTTGCCAGTGAATTGTTAGATACCAGCACATTCACCTCCGACTTCCCATCAAACTGCCTGAGGGCTCTCCATGGATGGACAGATGAGGGTAATGTGCTAAATTCCCCCTTTGCTAGGGATGAATTTCCTGGGGGTTGCTCCTATTAGCCACGCTTTCCAGCAATAGTAACAAATTCACTTTTTTTTTTTCACTTTTAAAACATTTCCAGTGCAACTAGAATGGCTGGGAGAAAGCTGATTGTTAACTAGTCATGGGTAATTAATGGCTCCACCTTCCCCATCAATCAGCTGGGAGAAGCCAAAAGGATTTGAGTACTTGCAGCAAATGTGCTGTTCCCCAGACATGCTGATACTCAGTGTGCAAATGAAGTGGCAGCAGGAGACCATCTCATAGCCTTTGTGAAGCAGCAGTAAGTCATGATACACATCCCACGCTCCTGTCAGGTGAAGTCTGAAATTCCCAGAGCTGCTGCTGCTGTTGTGCGGTTTCTGACTGTGTGGGATGTTGATTCATCTCGCTGCTAGCTTGAATCTGACCCAATTTTTGTTCTATTTTTCCTTTTCAGATTCTGATTATGGTTGTCTTTTTCCGCTTTCTACAATTAAAATACTAGCATTAGAAAAGCAGGACATGGAAGGGGGAGCAGATGCAATGCTGGCTTTCCTTCTGTAGCAGAGCAAAAAAGCATTTCTGCATCCTATTTTGTTTGTGTCTGGTAGTGGCTGTGCAAGCACAAGCAGAGATCTGACCTTGATACCATTCCAGCTGACCTTTTCCCTTCTGATTTATTTCTTCCCATATTTAATAAATAATTTCCATTTGAGCTACAAGTTGACATTTCTCCACCACATGGTATTCCTCTCCTCAATATACTGAGACTCCACAGCTCTGGATGTCTCCAAGTCACCTGAGGGAGAAAAGCCTGTAGTCTTCTGTGTGATCCACTGGCTTAAAAGGGATGCCAGCAAGGCTGGATGTGGTTCTGCAGAGGTGCCAGAAGCCAGTGGACCATCTCTTGCTATAAAATCCTCCTCAGGACTTCCCAAATTCTCCAGCCCTTTTCTTTAAAACATTCATCCTTGCCACACTAAGCATTGGCTTTTCTCTCCCTGGCTAGCAGTGGGATGCCTAAAATTCAATATACCACTGGAAGAGAGTCAGTCCCTGGTCTGATTAAACTCCTTTGTCCTCTCTGCATGTCCTTGCATTTCCTGCTCCAAATGGCCGTAAAAACAGAACCGAAGGATTTTTGTTTGAGTGTAGAAAGTCACTAAATAAATTCTAAATTTGTTTTGTACATTAAACTGAAGATCAGATGTCCCAGTAACATCACTGACAAAATAGAACAAAAGTTTATTTTATTTGGAATAAATCTAGACAGTGAAAGAGATGCAGCCTTATAGCAAGTTCTTTGTAATGAACAAAGCTCCTAAATTTGCTGTTCAGGACCCACCACTGGCCTGTGATATCCTGCTTTTGACCTCCATTTTTTGACCATCTTGGTCCTGTAAATGTTAGTACAGCCATTCGTGTGAGTGACTGCACACAACCCCCTTCCTCAGGAGGTGCAGTGACCGTGTTGGGCCCTGGAGCTTGAGCCTTGATTGCTGCCTCTTAGCACTTGTAAGCACTTATAAGCACAAAAGCTAATGGTCACACTTGCAGAATAAACTAATTAAGGGAAAATGCTCAAGCCCTTCGATTTCTGCTCAGCCTTCCCTGGGTAAGAGCAGTGCCTTGAGCAAGGCTTAACCTCAGTGCCTGATCCTCCCGGAAAAGAAGTGCAGTTAAAGGCTGGAAGTGCAGAAATTGGGCAGATGAGTGACGTTATACCATCAAATGTGTTCATTGTTATTCACATTCATGTTGTTGGAGAAGGCATCTGTGGCTGAAGGCATGTGTTGCTGCAGCATTCCAGTGGGGAGAGCAAACTTTGCACAGACTGTTAATCACCCACTTGGGAAGGAAGAGCTGGATGCTTTCCTGATTCTGGTACCAGGAATCAAGAATAAAACGATTCTGTGTGCTGAAGATGAGAATTATCACACACCCATGGAACAGCCAAAAAGAAATTATCCCTACTTGCCTGTTTAAGGGATTTGTTTTTATTTTGTAGCTAAGTCCTCGACTGATGTTTTCAGTCTTGTCTCTATTTGTTTAAAAGTGCGTTAGCAGTAAATCAAGGTGCATTTCCCCTGTAGGGTTTCCTGTATGTCAAAGCCATGTTAATTCTCTTTGATTTTCTTCCCCTAGCCCCAGCCATTGCTGCAGATCCTTCCTCTCTTTGTCCCTTTGGACATCAAAGGCTCGCAAGGGGACAACCCTGGCGGGAAGCTCCTCCCTGCTCATTAGCCTCCATAAAACAGGAACTCACCTTGGCTAGCTGTGCTTGGAGTCCCATCCTCATCCTGCTCACTCTTGACACTGGATCTCGGAAGGAAGGGCTTGTGCTTGCTTCAGGAAATCAGACCTGCTTTTGAACTGGACTATTTTGGCTCCCCTTGTAAGAACTCTGGTGGCTCTCTTGGCCCTGCAAGCTCCTCGACGTCACGGTACATGGAAAAATGCAAGCTTTACCAGGTAAGTGAAGGACTCCTTCAACTTTGTCACCGCACGGAAAGATCCTAAACTCATGCCAGAAAGGGAGCAAGCGCTCCTGAAAGGGCTTACCCGCACTTACAGAAAAGTGCATGGGGCTGGAGAGGATTTGAAAACGGGGTTTTTTCATGGGAGTATGAAAAATTGTGCATTTGAGGTTTTTTGGTTTTTTTTTGAGAGCCTTAGAAGATTTTTTGTAAAGGTTTGCTCACAATTGTGCCCAAAATTCCCTTACCCAGACTGCCTTGTGCAGTGTAACCCTTCAGCTGAAGGCTGGAGGTGTTTTTGTGTATTGTCTACCAAGCACTGGGTTCTTCAGGTTGAAGGCCACAGAAAGCTTGGAAATACTTGACGTATTTTTAATAACAGTTCTGATACAAACTCTCTGGTTTGGGCTTTTTTCCCTCCAATTTCCTATGTCCTTTGAAAGCATGAACCCCAATCAGGCATAGCTTCCAGATTCACACCCAGCATAGGATTTTTGTGATTTCCTTAGGGTTTCATTATGTTTTCCTTCAATCCATCTCACAGCATGCTGTTATCCTCTCCTGTGTGGAGCATTGTTGGATTTGGCACAAGGACAGAGATGCCTTGGGACACTAAGGGCCAGCCCAGAGGTGCTGTATTTGTCAGTGCAACTAAATTTACTCTGGGGTTTTACTCTACATCAGAAAAAAAACTGGCCCAGTTTATAGGCCCATCAGAAGTGGCTGTGCAGTCTCAGCTTCCTTATTCATTCTCTGCAAGATGTCTCATTCATGAGCAAAATACATGTGCAGTGGTTTAGATGATTCCCACCTTTGCTGCTGTTTTGGGTTTTTTCAGTCCCTGCTGTGTTGATCAGATTCATACTGATTTCTGCCACTTGAATTTTAAGCTAAAAAACAAAAGAGCAGCAATGGAAAAAAAAAGTAGACTCTATTATTTTTTCATGTTAAAGATTCCAAATATTGCAGTGTTCAGCTCATTTTCTTACTGGGTTTCTTCTGGTGTATGACCCACTACAGCAGAAATGTTCCAGGTGATGACTGGATGCATCTGAGAGATGAAGCTGTTGCATTTGTGGAAACATCATACTTTTGTTATTGCCAAAAAACTCTCTGGGTCTGAGAAATGAGTCTCCCTCCAGAGGGTCAGGGTATTTCTGCTGACATTAAGAAGATCAGAGAACATAGGAGGGCTTTTTTGCTTGTTTGCAAGATGAATTTATTAGAAAGCTTTGTATATTGATGTGTGCTCCTCCCTTGTGGACTCTGGATAGCTGTGAGTGTTTGGCTTCACTTGGAAGATAACAGCAACAAATGTAATGATAACTGATTTTAGTCAAGGTAAACGTAGCTTTTTCCCTTATTGGAGCTTTCCCAATATTGCAAATCCTATCCTACACATTTTGGGAAGGCTGCAACAAATTTTCTGACATTTTAACATTGTCTCAGTAGCGAAAAATTAATTGAGGAACTGCTTTAGGTGAGGCAATTGTACTCCAGTATCTTCTATCCAGAGATCTTCTTCCTAAAACTGCTAAATTGTCTCACATTTCCCCTTTCTTCCTTTCTGTCCCCAAGATGACAAAAAGATATGTATGGCTCATTCTAGATATAGAAACTGTAGCACAAGCTACTTCTATTGGTATAAGGACCTCCAAATCAAGCACAGAATAGATTGAAGATGTCTTAATTTTCAGTGCTTTACCACAGCAGCTTCCTCCCTTTCAACCTCATCTGGACACAAAGAACAAGTTTTTGAATGGACAACATGTGATGTTGCCAAGACAATGATAACAGGGATATTTTTTAAAAAGTAAACTAGAACTGCTGGAAAAGTTTTAAATCTCTTCCAGATAATAATGGTTTTAAAACCAAGTTGCACAGAAGAGGAAACCATAGAAGTACAGCTCACACAAGTTGCACTCAGTGCTTGGACACTCTGCCCAAACCTCTCTGTGCCATAGTTCCAACACTCAGGGAGGGTGAGTGCATGAGCCTTGCCATCAGTTACACAGGCACAAACTAGGAGGGAAACAAAAATCCAAACAAAATTTGCAAACAAAATCCGAAGTGGATCCTACAAACAGATCCATCACTGAGGGTCCTGCTGAAGCTGACAGCAGCTGAGTGGATCCATTCACCAGCTCACCATTCACCATTGCTGGGCTCCAGGTCCTCATGCAGACCTTGTCCTGCTTTTCAGCCTCAGCCTGTGCACACAAACCTGCATGGTGAAAGGCATTAACTGCATTTTAAAACCTTAGCTGCAGCATTTATTGTCCCTGTCTCCTGCAGCATTGTGTTCCTACAGGTGTGCTATGGACTCATTGTGGTAAAAACCAGATTATAACATCTGCCTTTGATTTTTAATTCAGTGTTGAACTCATTTCACTTCACTTCCTCTCAACTTCATTGGAAATCTCCCCTCACTAAAGACTCCTGAGATCTGCCTTGTTGTAGTCTCTTTTAATGGCATTGGAATTTGCTTAAAGAAATGTTAATTCCAAAATTCATTTGGGGAAGGAGTGAGCATCTGTCTAGCTAATCAAAACCTGTTTGCTTTTATTTGTGACTGGATGGCTCCTGTGGGAAATCAGCCCAATTTTATTGTAACTCCTTTTGATACATGTGCTGCACTGAGCTACCAAATGCATCGTCTCATGGCAGCTTTCATGTCTTTGCAAGAGGATATGGGGGAAGCTTTCGTAAGAAGATGTTAACAGGCTAATCTTGGTGAGCAAACTAGGTGTCACTTCTTGGCCAGTTCATTAATGTTGGATCAAAGCAGAAAAAAGGGTAGAGGATTTTTTTTTAAATGCCTAAAGACCTCTACAAATAGACAACATTACATTTTAATGTTTTCTACTTCTTAATCCTGAGGGAAGAACCATTTATAGTTGTATTGAGTTGTTTTGGTAGAAAGATGTCCCTTTGTGAAAAAAGCTAATTTCTCTGAAAATAGTCGCCTACTTTTTGTGAATACTTATTTGAAGGCATTACTCAGGAAAGCTGTAGCAAGGTGAAAATTCCCTTTTTTCTGCTATGGTCTGAATAAGATCTGATCAGGCTGAGAGGCAGAAAAATCTACCTTTTAAACAAATAGCTGTGCCTGGCTGCTAATGCACCACCCAGAGGGGTCCTGCTGGCCCTGAGCTGGGACAGCCCAGCTCCTGTGGGTGTCCTGCTGAGCAAACTCCTCACCTCTCCTCAGGGCAGTGTTCCTAAAGCTCTCCTGGCTCTGAGCTCAGCCCACCAGAACTGTACTGGCTCACATTCTGACCTAAAATGGAACTGGGCTTTTCAGCCTGGCAGCAGCAATCTTGCCTTACAATGTTGCTGAGAGCACCTACTGGGGGGGTTGAAGGAGGTTTTTAATACAAATAGCTGTGCAGAGGTGATTGGTACCATCGACACCAAAGGCAGTTCCTCCAGAGTGGTTTCCCTTTCCTCTTCCTCAGGCCCACAGCTGGTCCTGTGCCTCCAAGAGGAAGAGCAGGCAGATTGCAGCACTCCATGGTGTTACTGAAGAGACACCTTCCACCCCCTCATAGGCTCCTCAGTGGTCCCCAGCTCCACTTCCAGTTCAGACCAGCCATTCTCTTTTCAGAATACAGTCTTTCCATAGTCTATCTCTGTAACCTCCTTTTCTTGCCTTCACTTACATTTAGAGCTCCTGTCTGTCTCATCTTTGTCTTTTGGGGGCATTTTTCACCTCTGCTACCCCCTACTTGTCATTTTCCCCTATTCCCCTCTGGTGCATTTAAAGTCTTTCCAGTCCTTTCAGCTTTCATTGTATTCTCTTGATAAATTGTTTTGTGTAACCCTGATCATGCCAGAACAGTGGATGGTGGCTACCTGCCAGCATGGGTTTTGTAACAGTGGAATTTAGGCTGAGTTGGTGCAACACACAGATCCTTACAAAAGGACCTACCAGCTAAAACCAAATCTGTTGGAAAAGGCTCCCTACCTCTGAGCCTATTAAGCAACAAAAATCCTTTGAAGAAAAGCAAGTTTTTAGGAGGTTTGTTGTGGCACAGACTGCCCAGACCAGGGCCAGTTCCCCTCCTGTCTGTCTGCAGTCACCATCTCATTTCTCCCTCCAGACGTGAAAGCCCCGTGTGAGGCCCTTCCTTCCCCCAGCCTGGAGCCCTTCCCACAGAGCTCCATCGTGGTCACTCTCGAGGACATGGGGCTCTGGATGAAGTTTCACCAGATAGGAACTGAGATGATCATCACCAAATCTGGCAGGTAAGGGGCATAGGACAGCCGACCACACACACCACACCCCTCTGAGCTGTTGGCAAAGCCTCTAGGTGCTCATTTTTCCAATAGTGGCCCTTAAACTGGTTTTGTAGCCGGTTATGCAGATCTTCCTGATCCTGGCAGAAGAATTGCACTTTCAGGGTGTCATAGGAGTCCAAACTGTGAAGTGCAAAAGGTCACTTATGGGGGTGATGTGCTCAGAAAACTCCTGTACCCTTATCTCACCACTTAACACTGTTCTTCCTGTCACTTTGAGGTTGCTCTGGGAAGTGCCCTGGGCTCCCTTTGTCTGGGTCACAGGCAGCAGCAGTTGAGCAGTAAATGTTTGGGTTTGAATCTGTGTTTGCAGACAAGAATATGGCCCAGACTCTTAAAGATCTGTGTGTGCAGACTCCACTGAAGTACAAATGAGTCATGTATTGTGGAGCTTGCAGTGAAAGAAGATGGAATTGTGAAGCTGTAAAGTATTGTGTCAAAGCTGCTGTGAGCTGGAATAATCCCTTTGGGTAGGGAGGTAGCTGTCAAAGCTTTTTTTGCAGAGTCAGAAGTTAAAAGTAGTGGCAGGGAGTACGGGAACAGAAAGCTGGGTGTGCTCTTAGATGAGAGCACATCTTCTGCCCACGCTCAGATTTAATCCATCTTCCAGGGCTGTGAGAGCTGCAGCAGGCCAGGAACTACATACAGCCTCCAAATAGTTCCTTTCAAGTTTCCCACTGGTGTGTTAGAGGAATTGGAAGAACAAAAGCAGTAACACTGTCAGGCCCTCAGTGACTGCTGCCCTGTTAGTGTCTATCCCATCTAATCCCACAGGACTAAACAGTCCATCAATGAGATGGACAAATGGTCAGTGGCTGGTTGGAGAAATACTGCTCACAGGGCTCTGCACAGTAGTGAGTAAATGTGACATGCTGCTTGATCATTAACAGCCACTTTACAGAGAAACCATTATACTCTATTTTTCATTTCTCCTTCAGACGAATGTTTCCTCAATGCAAAATCAAAGTCTCTGGCTTAATCCCGTATGCCAAGTACCTCATGCTGGTAGATTTTGTGCCAATGGATAACTTCAGGTACAAGGTAAGTACTTTAAATAACAGAATTTATGCTGTCCTTTCATCTTGGTTTGAAATAGATTAATCTTTATGCTTCACTTGTCACATTGATAAATAAATTCTCTTTGGACAAAGTTCAGAAGTAATTGATGGATTTTATGTCTCTCTGGAGTTATTTGTCAGTTTTGCTTGGGGAGCAGCTGGAAAGGTAACTAATTTTCATTGTAAGCAGTACAGTTTTAATCATGATTAATGTCAGACTTTTCTGGCAGCCATTGGGAGAAAGGCAGGAAAAATGAGGCCTAAACTTGGAGCTGATTTGGTAACATGATCATGGCTCATAAGAGAGAATCTGCTTCTTGTGCTTCAGAGGACTGCACTGAATTGGCAGTGAAGCAAACTTGCTGGGCCTTTTCTGTACTGAAATCATTTTTTTCAGCTCCAGATTTCTGTCTTTCCCTTCACAGTGGAATAAAGATCAGTGGGAAGTTGCTGGAAAAGCAGAGCCCCAGCTCCCTTGTCGCACCTATGTCCACCCAGATTCCCCAGCTCCTGGCAGCCACTGGATGAAAGAACCTGTCTCCTTCCAAAAACTGAAGCTCACTAACAACACTCTGGATCAACATGGGCATGTAGGTTGTGCTGTGCTCTCTTGGATTTCATTGCAGATGACCTTTGTGGGAAATAAGCAGGATTTGTGAGAAATTAGATGATGTAGAAGTTAAAACATACCCAAGTGCCCTTTCTTCCTCCCTGAGCTCAGCCCTTGTGCCCCCTTAGCTCCCTGCCAGGGAAGGCACAGCTCTGTGCTGTCACTGCAGGGGCTTGTGGAGACACCAATCCCAGCAGGAGTCCCTGCTTGGAAATGGGTGTCCTGGGGGTCTGCACAGGGGATCTGCAGCGTGTGGCAGTGGTGGCACATGGAAACCTTGTCCTTTGTCTGTCCCAGATCATCCTGCACTCCATGCACCGGTACAAGCCGCGCTTTCACATCGTGCAGGCCGATGACCTCTTCAGTGTCCGCTGGAGCATCTTCCAGGTGTTCAGCTTCCCTGAGACTGTCTTCACCTCTGTCACTGCCTACCAGAACGAGCAGGTACGGTGTGCAGGCTCTGCTTCTGGACACGCTGTGAAATGCTGTCTGTAAAATTCCTGTAGAGGAAGGTGTGTCCTCCCCCTCTGCTCATCCTGGGCACCTGTGGTGGACAGTGGGAAGAAATAGGCACATTGTGGTTCCTGTGGAAAACATCCCCTCTGTGATGAGTCATGCACCTTGATGGTGCTGTGTGCACTGTCAGTGACACACAACTCCAAATGCAGTAAAAATTATGGCTGCAGGTCCAGATATTCACCCTGTCTCTTTCTCTAGTCAGATGAATCCCACCGAAATCCCTGCTGACCCTGGCAGGGTCACTTCTCTCTGTGGGTCAGTTCTTGATCCATGATGGGAGCTGCTGGGAGAGCTGAGATACTGTGGCAAGGGCATATCCAAAACCCTGCCACAGTTGATCTCTTGTGATAAATACAGTTTATCTCTTGTGATAAATATCTTGTGATAAAGGTTAAAGTCTTGGAACAGTCACTGTGATGCTGAGTCTTTTTCCTTTCATTTAAAGATTACAAAGCTCAAGATTGACAACAATCCATTTGCTAAAGGTTTCCGTGAACATGGGAAGAACACTCGAAGGTAAACTGTTTTTTTTTTTCATTTAAATTTGTTTCTAGCTGGAGTTCACTTGTGAATTTTACCCAAGGCTTTGAACAAAACTCTACCAGCCAGCTCTGCTGAGCCTGCTGCATTGTGCACACTGCATTTCCCTGTATCTGGGAGTGATGTCCCTCTGTGCAGCCTCTTCTCAAGAGACTTGGGGAGTGGGAGGTGACAATTCCTACAGAAATGTGGGAGGTGTGACAAATTTGAGACCTGCACTCTCTTGCACACTGGAGCTAGACTGGAGTCTGACATGTGAATAGCAGTGATAACACGAGTCCACAGCAGACCATTTGGTCTCTTGGAGATCAGCTTGATTCTGACATTTGGAGGCTCCCTTGTCTCCTTTTCCTGTGGGTGGAAAAATGTCTCTTCCAGGGGGAGATTTTGTCTACAAGAGGAAAGATGGATCCAATACCAGTGAGATCTTCTGCTTGGTCTGAGGGCAGCCAGTGGATGAGTTGAAAAAAAAGCTTAAATTGCAACCCCAGACCGGCAATAGAGAAGGAAAAAATGGAGGCTTTTTCCAAGCAGAAAATGTTACAGAAATATCTGAGATTTTGTTTTGTGTTATTTTATGCCTGAAAAAAAAATTTCCTGATGAAAAAAAGCCAAAACTGACTCTTTTTTACTTAGAAAATCCATAACATTTTTAAAGTTTTTCTCCTCCTAATAGCATCCCTGCCTGTATATCTAGGCAAAAAGCTTACATCCAAGCTACCCCCACATCTTGTTTCTTTCCAGGGAAGGACGAGCCAAATGCCAGAAGCCCAGTCCAGCCAAGAGCCAGAAGAGGAAGCTGCCTGAGGAAAAGGAGCCTGCTGCTGAGGAACGTGGTAATATTGATCACAACAAACCCAGAGAATAATATTCAGAAAGCTTTTTAAGCTAAATCATTCCTTGCTCCAGCTCATGGTGCTGCTTGCAGTAGCACAGCTAAGGAGAGAGGGCAGGCAGGACTGACCACCACAGTATCTGGGCAGAAAGGAGCTGGAAGGGGCCTTTCCCTTCCAGGGATAAAGGACTGCAGATAAGGAGGACTGCAGGAGGTGGTAGTGTTTCCTTCCACCATCCTGTGATTACTGCAGCTGCCAGCAGACCATTGTGAGCTTTGCCTTCCTCTTCCCCTTTCTCATTCTTTCCTATTCTTTCTTTTCCCTGCTTTGAGTCAGATTTTGAGAAGGATGAGAATGTAGACGTGAAGGAAGAGAGCAACCCTGTGGTGGTGAGCAGTGGATATCCCTTCTGGGGCTCGGAGCAGAACAGCAGCCAGGCCTTCCCTGCAGCCTCACCAGTGCCTGCTGACCAGAGGGAGGCTCTGGCCAGAGAGCAGCAGGTGCCAACGCCGTCCTACCACACCTATCGGTGAGTCCTGCCTTCTGCTCCAAAGCCACACTTCAATTGCTGGGATTCTTCTTCTTCTGCTGGGTATTTCCTAAGAAAAACAGACAGTTGGGAATAGGAGGAGGATGCCTTTCTGTTGGAGAGTACATGTGGTTGAGAGATGGTAGATTAGCATGGACATAGGTCCAAGGATAGCCTTTCTCTTCTAGTTCAAACACACTGGTTCTGGGCATGCTCATGTCTTTGTAATGTTCTTTATTTCCCTGTCCCAAAATGTTCACCCAGCCAGCTCTGTGTACTACAGAGCTTGCCTGTCCTTTGGAGGAAGTGTTGGAGAAGTTACAAGACTCCAGTAATTTTTCCTTCCTCATTGCAAAATTGGGTGTGAGTGAGTCCAGACTAGAACTTAGCCTGAACTAAGGTAGTCTGGACTCACCTTCTCTGACATTTTGTTTTTCTGTGAGTGTGACAGTGAGGCTTGGGCTAAAATCTACAGTAAGATGAAGCAGTAGACAAAGGGAAGAGCTTGCCCTGCTTTTCCCCAGGGGATCTTTGTACATTTTCCATGGTTTTCCACTCTGGTTGGTCTGACTTGTTCTTCTCTCTGCCCTTGGGCCCAGGTTCCATGAAGCTGGGGACAGCCAGCAGCTTCCCAGCCGCGATGCCGCAACCCTGAATGATTTCCGGGCAAGGTGCCACGCCTTGGATCTCGCCATGGTGCCCGAGCACGACTCCAAACAGCTCCCAGAGGGCTTCACCAACCTGCCCCCGCTGCCCCCACCTCTGCCTCCTCCCCAGGACTACACAGGAGTGGTGAACATGGCTCTGGACTCTGTGGGGAAAGCCGGGGCCCGGGCGCCCATGTACAGTCCCTATGGCACCGAGCAGGGCCTGGGGCAGTGGGTGGTGCCTTCCCACAGCCAGTACAGGGCAATGAGCTACTCAGCCTTCTCCACGGAGTACAACACACAAGGAACTCCAGGACATGCCCATGGCACCATGGCAGAGTGGAGCCAGTATCCTCTGTTCCCCTATGCTTGCTGGTGAATGGGGAGGACCCTTCTGAGTGAAAAAACTGAAAGAAAATTGTAAATGAGATTGAATTTACCGTTGGACTTGTGAAGCTTTGCCTACAGTAGGCAGAGGTATCGCTGCAAGCAGTAGCATGGGACACCTCCACTTCGTTGTCTCCTTGCACAACAACCTCACCATATTTCACAAGCAGTGGTTAAACTGGTGGCTGCCCCAGCCATGTCATTGTGGATCAGGCTCAGTGTTGTTCTGCAGTGTTTTTTTTCCCAGCAGGAGTAGGAAACCACAGGTCTGCAAGAACAGTATTTAAAGAGCTGCTGAACTCGCAGTCAGTGTTGGCACCTCACATTTGGCAGTTTCCAACATCCTTTCCTCCTGGGACTTGGTGCAAGGAGATAGGGGCTGAGGACTTCCAGTAAGCCATCCATGTGGCAAAAAAAAGCTGTAGAAAATATTACAGAGACAAGCAAAGCAAGCAATCTTGGTGAACTCTGAGCAGCTTCCTCAGTTAGTATAGTCAAAGTAAAGCTAGAGTCTTGCCTTTCTTCCAGCAGCAGATGAGAGTAAAATGCACAGCAAGGTGTGTCTGGAGCACAGCAGGGGAGAATTTGCAGAGTCTGCAGGCAGGGGAGAGTTTGTTCTATGCAAGAGAAGTAGCAGCAAGGCTGTGTGTGGTGTCTTCCTGTCCCCATGCCCTTCCCTCCTCTGCCAGCCCTAGATTTGAGGTCAGTGAAACGCTTTTCATTCTGTGGAGGTGGAGGGACGTTGTTCATGGAATGTGGGGGGCTCCTCTGGGGCCTTCCAAGGCTGTCAGAAGCAGAGCCATGAACAGCAGTGCTCTATGTCACTCTCTTCTTCTGTGTTTTCCCTCTTCCTTTAGAGGGAAAGGAAATTTTCCACTGTGAATTTACTCCTTCTCCTGCTCCCTGCCACCCCTGGAGAATATAATTTATAGTTGTGGTTCCTGCGCTGCTCTGTGAGTGTTAAGTGCTCTGTGAAGTTATCTCGCTGCTGTTTGGGGGTCTGTAGGGATCTGTCCATGTTTAGTTATCAGAGTGGTTCCACTTCCCTCCTCTGTGGTCCCATCCTGGGCAGTAGCACCTGTGCACTGCCATGCAAGCAGGGATTCTTTTTATCTTCCTGTTAGAATGGGGAGGCCTCCCTGTTTGCCCAAGTGCAGATGGCCCTGGCACTGGGGACTTGGTGACACAGACTCATTGCTTCTCAGGGAGGATGGACATGCTCCTAGGTGTTATTTAGGGAATGTTTTCGTATCACACTAATAGCTGCTGTGTGGCCTGCAGCCACACTGAGGTGTGTCATTTAGCCTGTGTGCCAGATGGTTTTCTGTGTGCACACACGTGTGAGAGAGTGTGTGTATATGTAGCAGGATGTTGTTTCTGAGCAGACCTGGGCAGGTTCGTGCCCAGTGCCTCAGGACCCCTGTGCAGGGACACTGGGAAAGGCTGTGCACCAGGTTTTTGGGGCACCAGCTCCTCACTGTGCATCTGCATAGCACAGGGATATTGAGCCATGTTGTTACTGTTAAAATTACTGTGAAAAGTAGCCCTGTAAATTTGTGGGCTCAACTACAATGACTGTTTTCTTATTTAAATTGTATACTGCAAACTGCTTTTGTAGCACAATTATGATATTTACAGAGCAGCTGAGTACTTCCCATGGGCTTTCTGGGATTTGAGGATGTGCAGCATTGAAATAAAGGTCAGACTTTGCCACAGTACATGTACATAATGCCCTGTGAGCCTCCCCTCTGATGGCACCCTGGCCAGTAGTGATTTGTACCTGCTGTGTATGACACACATGTGGATGTCAGCAACTCACTTAAAAAGGAATCTGGCTGGGGAAACAAAATATGGAGCACAGTTTTTTAAATGCAAAAATATCATTATTTCCTGCTGTGCAAATGCCAGCTGTGTGAAGGCAGGTCAGCTGTAAAAGGCTGTCTCTGGCCATTAGTAGTTAATTTTGCCACCACTGTCCTTCACATCTTGGAAATGAGAGGAGCAGAATGACCGGGGAGTTGAGTGAGTGCCTTGAGCAGGGGACCCGAAGGCGGTGCTTTGTGCATGGGATCACTGCCAACAGCACACCCGCAAAAGAGAGAGAGAATGCATCCCTCACAGGCTACCTGGTTGGATCTGTTTCTTTATCTTTGTAGCTGGGATGTGTTTCCCTGCCACAGAGCGCTAATGAGGATGAAAAGCTGCAGTGAGCATGAGTAACTGAGGACAGCTGGGCAACACTGGGGAATTCCTGTGAAAATCCGAGTGCAATGCTGTTTCTTTCAGACCTTTGCAGTAGCAGTGCAGGTGCTGCTGCCCCCTGGGCCTGTCGGTAGAGCTGGTTTGGCAGACGGCTCTGCACTGGGGTAAAAGACTCAGCTTTGTGCCATCAATTACTCATCAGCCTTCTGTTACAACGGGACTGCTCGCCCTTCTCCAGTGAATCATCCAGCTCGCACAAGTACCTATCCTTTCTCTCTGATTAGAGACTGCGCTCGGCTTGTTCGGGAAGCCTTTGGAGATTTTGCCTGTAGGTGTGCTCTGGACTCTGCTCCCGCCCCCTCCCTTTGCAGCTCCCACCGGCTTGTTTTCTTCAGCTGTGGCATTTCAAGTCTGTTATGAGCTCGACTGAAATGCTGGTTTTGCACGCATGTGAGATAATGTAATGCCTCTGACAGCTTCAATAAAAGGAAATGAGACATGTGGAAGTCAGGCCATTAAGACTAATAAAATAAACTCAAAAGTGTAGGTTTGTGCATCTTTCTCAAGCACAACGTGCTCTGCTTTAGTCATGTTACCTGGGGCCAGTTTGTACATGCATGACACGCTGTTGATTTCAGCATTCATTGTTCTCCACAGTGTGCTCAGTGAGCCTCAGGTTATCTGCTCACACTGCTAGATATGACTCAAGCTCTTGCACCAATTCTTTGCAGCAAATTGTTTATTTTCTCTGTGTTTTCTGCTCCTCTCCTGCAGAGAAGTTACATAAGGAGGAGGGCAAATGGACTATAAATGGGATCTAGGTAAATTTCCTATGGGAAATCAAGATCTTGATTTATTTTGGTTTCTCCTACTGGTTTTTGCAGCCTTAAGCCTTGTCTGTCATTGCTTCAATGCAGATGGGAATGGCAGAAAAATGCTTTCTTGCCGATGCTGCAGTTCTTCCCCAGGCAGGTGCAGGTTTGGCTGTTTCCCTAAGGCACAGAAAGCTCCAGCGCTGCCCACAGCCCTGTGGGCACACGGCGAGCCCGCCCAGGCCCCAGGCTGTGCCCTCTGCACTTGCACCTGCGCTGGCTCTGCACAACTTCCAGCTGGTTTCACGAAGAGCTTTCCTAATTTCCAGGTGCTGCAGGGACAAGGATGTGCGGGGCTGGTGCGGATTAAGCTCTGGGCCTGAGTCCCCGGCCGAGCTGCGAGCTGGGGCGAGCCCTCACGCGTGTGGGGCGGGGCCGGCCCGGCGCGGCGCCCTGAGCGGGCCCGGGAGGCTCCTGGGCTGCAGGGAGGCCCGAGGAGATCCTGGGGAGCAGCATTTCCATGCTGGGCTGGGGCTCTTGGAGCACCTAGTGCTGGGCAGCCAGGCTGGGCAGGACTCCTGGCCTGCTTTGGACTGACTCCGCAGCCGGGATGGGCTGTCTGTCATGGTGCTCCCTGAGCCTCCCAGGAGACTGCGACACGCGTTTTCTTAGACAGCCGAAGCAGCGGCTCACTTGAAGGCGATCCAAGCAAGCAGTGCAAACCCCCTTCCAGCAATAACAACATTCTTTCAAGTCGAATGGGTTTTTATTGCAGAGCTTAAAACCCACTTAATTCCCGAGCCCTAGGGTGGGATCCATGCGGGACATCTTAGCAGGGGGGAGGCAGCATTTGGTTGGAGCAACAAGCAGTGCTGGTCACCTGCCATGAGCAGCCAGGGCAGCTCCGAGCCAGAGCCCGGCTACCAGAGCTGCCCGCGGTGCCAGCCCCTCTGCTCCTCATGTACCTGCCCGCCCTCGGCCTCCAGGTGCTCACTGCCTGGCAAAGAGAGGGATAAAACTCTGCAGGGCTGGTTGGGGAATGGAGGCGCTTCTCTGGATCCTGGTGGGGGTGGGCTGTTCTGTGTCCCTCAGCTGCGCTGGGACAGCTGCTCTCAGAGCCACAGCCTTGCTGCAGTGTCAGTGGCTATGAGGGAGGCCTGTTCCTGTCCTCGGGGCTCTGTTCCCAGCCCTCTGCTGCTGGCCTGGCCCCCTGATCCTCCAGGTAAGCTGCCTTTTACTGTCCTGCCTTGCAGGGCTGTAGTGAGGTCTAAATGTTCTTTCTGGACGTTGCAGCAGGAGGAACACAGGGACAGGCTTACAGGACACAGTGAAGGGAGTAGGAAAGGTGTTTCTCCCCCACAGCACACGACACGCACGTCCCAGAACAAACCCAGAAGTGTTCTTGAAACCTGGGCCTGAGCAGAAGTGTCAGACAAAATTTTAACTGAGGGTGAAGCAAACCTTTGATGCAGGGTTGAGAAAAGGTGCTGCAGCTGTGCTGAGCAGTGTTGCTGTGCAGCCTAGTTTAGTGTTATTCCTTTTTTGTTTTTCCAAGTCGTGTGAGTTTGTTTTATGACCTGAAGCACTTTGCTGTGGGGTGCTGGATTGCCTCTGACACTTCTCTAATACTCAATTTCTTTTCTTTGAACATGCAGGTGTACAACTACAGTGTTCCTGCCCAGACAGCACCCTACTTGGTGAGTGTAATGGATAGATTTAATTTTAATCTCCTACAGTTCTTTGGGGACATGCTGAGGTTTTTATTTCCTCCTCCTCTATTTTTACTGAAGAGGGTAAATTATGTGCCTCCCTAAAGCAGAGTGGGCAGCCAGTGATGCAGGATGGGCACTCCCATCAGTCATGCACTAGGCAATAAAGCACTGCTCACTTTCAGTATCTCTTCCTCTCGTTGTACAAGTATGACTGTACATGTAAAACAGCAGCTGTTCACAGGAGAGATTTCCTGTGTGCTGGCACTGTCACTCCAGCTCCCATCTGTGGGGTCGCAAAGCACGGGCACTGTGATCTCTGTAATTGTACCTTCCTGGCCAGGAGATGGTGCATTAAGGGTAATCTGCGTGGAAATGCTGCTGCGGACAGGGATGAGTCAGGCGTGATTCCTGCCACGCCGCGGGGTCTGTCCCCATGCTGAGCAGCCAGCACTCTGCTTGCCCACAATCCGGTTTGGGCCCTGCTTTGCCATCTAGGAGTGGAGACAGAGCTCAGGCTCTGCGCAGCAGCATTCGGTGAGGGGGAAATAGGAATTGCTTCGGTAATCTAAAGTCAGCCCTCCGGGGATAAAGCAGTGAACTAGAGCAGTGGAGGGGATGTGATCAAACCTGCTGTTCACCAAAAGGATGTGCTGAGCATTGCACTGACATAGGCTAAATGACACTAATGTGCTCCCTGTAGAGCCCCTGGGGACACAGGGCATTTTGTAAATCCCGGATGAGAAAGCTGGGCCAGGAGAGCGGTGTTCTGCCCCCCAGGCTGGGCTGGCGTTCCTTGTCCTGCCCGTATGGCTGTTAATGGCCTTGTCCTGCCTCCATCCTCAGGGAATAATTGCCTCACACTTGAGCAAATGTGCTCGGTGTTTGAAAGGAGTCTATCGATTTGTGCGTATTCCTGAAAGCCTCACAGGGCCCTGTTCCCTTTGAAGTGTAAAAGCAGCTGTCTGTCTCGGCTTCTCGAGCAGTCTCCCGCTCCATTTGCATCTCCTCTCGGGCTGCCCAGGAATCCATCCCTGGCCCCATGCCGTGCTCCGGTTTTGGCTGCTGAGAGGGCTCCCTGCCACGGGAAGATGGGACTTGGAGACAAAGGTGCAAAGCTTCAGTCTAGGGAGGGGGTTGAGCTCAGCTTGCAGCTGAGGGTACTCAGGATGGAGTTGTTCCTGGAGGCCAGTTTCCAGTAGACAGACTGGGAATGTTCTTGTTGGGTACCGATCTGTGTGTTAATTAGGAAGGAGAGGAAATAGCCTCTGGTTCTCCCAGCCTTAGCACTTCACTTCCCATGCCAGAAAGCACTGGTTGGTAAGGAAGAAGGCCCGACCTGGACTGCCTTGGATAATCCATCATGTGGGAGCTGAATTGCTCAGGAATGACCAGAACCCTTGATGGTTCTCTGATGTGCATCTGGACAAATACTACTGAAATGTCACTGAGTCCCTGGTCTGTGTGTGGGAATTCAGCCTGTGATTCTCCCCATCCCACCTCCCCTGGGCAATGGGACTGGCCCTGGACCAGGGCATTTCCATGTAGACATAACCTTACAGGGGTGACTGTATTCCTGGAGCTAAGGACTCAGAGCTCTGACACTCCTTGGTCATCCCCGGGGTGGTGGTGGGAGCACAGTGCAGATAACTCCAGGCTGGAATTGCAGGGGCTGCCTGTAGCCACTGCCATCCAGCACCTCCCAGATGGTGCCTTGGGTTTCCTATTTCAAGGGGGCCCCAGTGGAGCAGCAGTGGCACCTCACTGCTGGAGGCAGTAAATGGGCTCCCATCTGGTTTTAATGATCAGTAGCACTTTGGTGCTTGTTTATTCCCGTGTTTTATGCTTCAGCAATAAAATACTGCTTCAGTTTGTTCAATCTGTCCTGGTGCTGGATGCAGATGAGTTCACAGCCTCTGACAAAGAGGTCCCAGCGGTATACAGGATGTTGTCTGTTTTGGGTTTTTTGTGTTTTTTTTAGACAGCTGGACAGAATCAGAATCAGTAGTGGCTTTTGAAATATAAGCATCAGTGGACAGTATAGAAGGCAGGGCACACAGCTCATCATGTCTAGCAAAGAAATCATATCCTTAGATTAAAGAAGGCTTGGTTCTGGAGCTGGAACTGTCTGCCTTTCTATCCTCCACAGGGCAGCACAGAGCTCTGATGTGGAGACTGAATTAAGTTAGTCCTAACTTTAAACCAGATACTCAAGGAAATTTTAGTCCCAAAGTGCTGCCTGCAGCACTCACTGAGCTGTAGCATTGAGCTTTAGCCATTCCACCACAGCCCTACAGTGGCAATGGAAGTAGCAGAAGCACTGGCAGGGCCACGTCTTGCCATGGGCACACACCAGCTCTGTGATAGGTTCCTGGTGCCACCATGCTTGGAGCAGCTATGGTGGGCTGTACAAAATTCTCTGGGGGCAATGTAGTCATTTATTAAGTAAATCTGGGGGGGGCAGCTCTATGTAAGGGGCTGTGGGACTTTCTTTCTGACCCGAGTACCCTTGTGTGCAGGCAGCTCCAGCACTGAGGGCATTGTCCTCTGAAGGGACAGGCAGTAACACCTGGCACATCTCTGGCACTCAGGATCTGGGATCCTGAATCAGTTTTGCAAAAGCCAGTTAAAGCTTTTCAGCACCTCTGTCGCAGGGTAGGGGGGACACTAAGGCAAAGAGATTAAAGACAGTAAACCACAGTGGGAGAAATGGGCTCTTTGTCTCCCTTCTGACTTTTATGGAGACCTGGAAACATTTTGCTTTCCCATCTAACATTAATCTTCTACCTTAATGGTGGAGAAACATTCTTCTCCACTTTATTTCCCAACTGTATGCTCCTTGGAGGATCTTTAACTCTTACCTCTAAAGAACATTGATTTTCTGCAGAGACCCTATTCCCCAATTGTTTGTCAAGGCTTGGATCTTTAGGTGGCAACTAAAGGGAGAAGGATTTTAACAAACTAATTAACCTCCCTCCAAGTCATTCAGGGTCTGTTCCCCTGGTGCCACTGGTGTTGAATTTGTGCTAATTTCCCCTGGAAGGTCTAATGTAGGGGGAGCGATTAAAGGAGGCTTTTCTCGGGCAGTTTTTACACAGCAGGAAGAGGGAAGGTGGCAGTGGCTGCTCTGTTTGGTTAGTGCTGTCCCCAGTGTCATCCAGTCAGACCCTGCTGGAGCCAGAGCCCAGCTCCCTGCTCTGGGAATGAGACTGGCCAGGTCCCAGCAAGGCAAAGCAGTCCCTCAAACCCCAAAAGATACCTCTGAAATGGGGCTCTGGGTTACACCAAATGTGTCACCCCAGCTTCCCAAACAAACAGGGCTGTCAGTCAGGGTAGAGGGAAGGGTTGTCTGCAGAGATGAGCAGGTTTTGCCATCACAGTGTCAGAAGGGCTCTCTGCTCCTCTGGCTTTCAACTACAAATGAAGCAAATGGCAAAACATTGACAAAGGACCTCCCTGGCCTCTGCGCTGGCCCAGTGCTGGGTTCAGCCTCCCAACCCTGGACACATGCTGATGGTATCAAATCTCCTGGAATCAGGGCAGAACTGCGTCATGGTACCCTGGAAAAAGGAAACTGTGATTCTTATGGATGCTCCTAAGAGCCCTGTGCTGCTGGAATCAGGTGAGGCTCTGGGTGGCAGGAGACAAACAGATGTAGGGGCACCATGCTCCTCCTCATGCTGCTCCCAGGCTGAAAGTGGGGATGATAGGGAAAAATAACACTGTGATTCCTGGGCTGTAGGGCTGGGACAGCTTGTGAGCTGTGGCACGAACTCCTCGATCCAGACTATAAAGTACTTCACAGGCCTGTCCCAATTGCCTGGCCTATTAGTTTTATGGAGGGGCCCATTGTAAGGATGCAGTTGGTCTCCTTTTGCCACAGTAATGAAAATATAACCACGGTGGGGAGAGAGAGACCCTGGCAGGGAGGCAGCGGGAAGCCTGTGTTTGGGCATTGGGGTCACAACCCTATGGGCTCCTGGGGTCCCCGGGTATCTGTCGGTGCCACCGTGGGAGCACTTCAGCAAGGAGAGGCTTTGCCCCTGGGCCCGGCCCGGGGTTCCTCCGGGCAGCCCCGGGCAGAGGAGGAGGCGGGAGCCGGGCATGCACAGGCAGGGGCACAGTGCCACCCAGTGACTGCCTGTGACCTGTGAGGGGACAGCTGGGGCAGCCTGCAGGGGAATTGCTGCAAAGGTGCTGAGGCCTGGAAGCCGCAGCAAGGGTATCCCAGAGCAGTGTGGAGAACAGAAAGCCAAGAAACCATCTGTGCTGTTGCTTTGTAGTCACAGTGCACAAGGGGCAAAGCTCTGGGACTGTTGTGCTGGGTCTGGAGCCAGGGCTTTGCACGACTTGCTCAGGTGCTGACAGAAGCCAAGGGTTGGGCAAGTTGGGGCTGAAGCAGCTCACATTTTAGGAGGGACCTGGCAGCAAAACCGTGGGAGGAGAAGGTGGTTACCTGGGATGAGCTGCTCTCCATGGGGAGGATGTGTCTCTGCTTGAGAAGTGCAGGTAGCTCTGGGGCATTGGGATCCCAGAGAGACAAGGCTGTCACAGGGGCTGCCTTGGAGCCCCTTGCCTCTGCCAGAAAGGGACCCCTTGTGTCTTGAGCAGTAGGTGACAGCCATGTGTGGTGGATTTGTGAGGTTAATGCAGGACCTTTCCTCTCTTCTGCCCAAACCCTGCCTCAATTCCTTGTTAGGTCAAGCCCTGTGTCTTGTGTTCCCAGGCTGTAACAAGTATCAACAGGCAGCTTGAATGGTGGGGGAGAGGGACAGGAGCCAGGTACAGTGGGACATGGTGCCGTCATCTCCTGAGATGGCTCCTGCAGGAAATCACTGCCCCAAGCAATGCCCTGATATATTTCCAGCAGGGACTGTCTCTTGGAGGAGGCACAGACTGTGACTCTATTTTGGGTGATGACTGCAGTGCCCACAGAGCATTTGGCAGCAGGGAGGGGTGTTAAATCAGCCTGTCCTTCTCCAGGTACATCATCTCCACCCCCCTCCATTTTCCACAGCTGTTCCAATGCAGCTCTGCCATGAGGCTGCAGGGCTGCAGTGTGGGCTGAAATCAGGGCACTGCAGCAAGGGAGGCATGAGCCCTGCACAGCTGATGGGTGCAAGTCCCACATCTTTACTGCCCTGTTGAGGACAGCACACACTTTCTGCTCCCAGGCTGCTCTCCAATGTGTCTTTATTTTTGTCTGTTTAGATTTGCCAGTGTTGATCTCACAAACACCACTGTGGGCTTCTGCTGCTCTACAGCACAAAGCTTTGCTAGAAATCCAGCAAGGCTGAGACCTGTTCCCTGTTACTTTGATGTGGCTATTGGACAGTTCCCATTCCATCACCCACCTCTGCCTCGATCAGATGGTCACTAGTGATGGTGAGGGTGGGTTACTGAGCCTCATACAGGCAGGAGCTGCTGCTGAGTACTTGGAGTAGCCTTTTTGTCACTGCTGGGGTACATCCTGCACTTTGGGATGGTTTTGGCCAGAGATTGCCAATGGTGCTGCTTATCCTGCATGTAGTGGTCAGACCTGTGTAAGCACATTCAGCAGAACCCCAGAACTGAGTTAATTTTAGCCTTTCTGTTTCAGACTCCTGCTGATGTGTCTCATGTCCAGGCCAAGGTGCTATTTCTTGCAGGGAAATGATCTTTGTTAATTTTAGATCTAGTTCTTCAAAGTGCCGAGTAGGCACAGCTATTCCAGGTAGTTGGGCACAGTGGGGGTGTTCAATCTTTGTGGGATATGGCTCTTGCTTACACAATGAAGGCCAAGCCTGATGAATTACATTTCCTTTGTGCCCTGCAGAGCATGAGGCTGATGCTCAGCAGGACTCCAGCCCAGAGCTGTGTATCACTGCAGACTCAGAGCCAGAGCACCAGCTGCGATACCTGGAAAGAGAAAAGCTCTTTCTCTTCAAGGTAAGTGGATTAATTGTATCACTGGTCACAAGAGGAGGGGAAAAGAAGAGATGGTCTAACATAACAGAAATGGATTCAGCAGGTAGAAGTTCCCATGAGTGCCCCTGAACCACATAATCCAGATCAAAGTAGTAAAGTAACAGAATACATTAAAAACTGTGGAAATCGAGTCTAGAAATACAGGGGGTCATTACTTCCCAGTAAGAAAAAGTTTGATTTTTGTATTTTTTATGACAAGGATAGCAACAGTGCGCTCTAAGGCCTGGCTGGGTTTGTCACTTCTGTAAGGAGTATCCCTGGGGGTCTCCAGCTTGGCTGCTGACTGGTGGAGTTGAGTGCCAAGAGTTTCAAACCAGCTCCTGTTGTTCACTTATGTCAGTCCCTTCTGTCTGTTCAAAACAGCATCCTCTCCTTGGACTTGCTACTCCCCCCAGATCAGTTGGATTTTGGGTGCAGGGGCAGCTGGAGGAAAGCAAAGCAGCATGTCCAGCACTGCCCTTCTACCCCTGCTGCCCTCTGACAGCCCAGCAAGAGCTGCTTCTGCCTGAGGATCTGGAGAGGATTCACTGGACAGCACAGACTGAGAATCAGTGCAGTGGAGGGGGATTAACAGTCCCTTGGATCCACACTTTCACTTCAGCTTTAGTGATAAATTTCTAGACCAAATGCTAGTAACGGATTTCTCAGCGCTGACTTTCAGCTGCCCTTGTTGGACCAGCCAGGACGTACGAAGCAGGAGCCAGTTCCCTGTGGATATCCAGATTTAGCTCTGATCCCAATTGTCTGGTGTGCCAGCAGCGGGTTAGACTAGTAACTTGTGCAGGGAGGGTTCTGGTTACAAAATGCCTGGAATGAAGCAAGCAGGTGCTGGGAAGGTTAACTGAGGGGAGCACGGCGTTAATTCCCCATCGCCTCTCGCTCCCCCCCGCCTGCCTCGGGAGCAGCGGGATGGATCTTCCACAGGTGAGGCTGTGCCGAGGGGCTGCCAGTCCCCGGTGAGCACGGCCACACCACAGAGCAGGGCTTAGATCAGCTTTTAGCTCCCAAGGTTGTGTGGTGTAGAGGAGCCCCGTGAGCAGAGGGCTGAGTCACGGTGGTGGGCGCTGGGTTCCCGGGCTGGAGCAGTGAGTGGACAGCCTGACTCAGGGTGGGCGACAACACTCGGTGTCAATGAGTCACAACAATCGGTGCCGCTGTGGCTCTCATGCTCTCAGGGCTTGCATTTCAGAGCAGGAGGCTCGCTCTGGACAGCTGGGATGGTTTCTTTCCCTGCTGCAGCGGGGCTCAGCTGTTCACACAGCGACCGCCAGTTTGCAGCTCGGGGATGGGGAGTTCCTGAAATCGGAACTGCCTTACCTTTCCTGCTGAGCTGTGATTGGTGGTCCAGCAGCTGCTACAGGAGCAGCTGACCTGTCCCCTAAAAAACAAGGCAGAGGGGATGATATGGAGGACAAAAATCAGTACGGTTGCTCCAAGGTGAGTGTGGACCTCAGGAGCTTTTCATCTGTGCAGAGTCCACACTCTGGAGAACCATGTAGAAGTGGAACTGTGTTCTGCTGTGGCTGCAGTTTATTTGATTTATTTAAGTGTATTGCCTACTGGTGTAAGCTCCAACAGACACCTCTGGGTATGTCTAAAAGGGTGTTTGACATCACACCGGTTTAGAAACAAAACCTTTTCAATAAATCAGTGACAAACTGATGAACCCAGCTGATCCCAGCTTGCACTGAAAAATGGAGGCTTGTGCTGCACGTTGTTGGACTGAAGTAACTGAACTACTTCACATTTGCACTTGTGGAAGCCTGAATGCAGGTAAGACAAATAAACCCACCTTGATGCTTCCTGTTACCTTTTACTTTTTGCCTTAAACAGGATTACCAAGCCCACTGAATATATCTGACCTATTCTCATCTTTAAAACACATGGTTTTCTTCAAAACATAACTTGCCAAATGTGACTATTTGATGATAAGACACTATGCAGAGTTGGCTATGAATGTTTATTAACATCACATGGAAATGTGTACTCCAGAGAAGACAAACGGGGCTGTCACCATACCTACAGAGTCCAGGGAACCAGAACAAGCGTTGTAGGCTTCTCCTTGGCAGCAGTTGCATGGCTGATGTTCTTCTTAAGTTTTCTTCCTATACAGGATCAGCTCAAGTATCAACACCTTGTTAATGATTTAAGTAAAAAAAACCTTTAAGTTTAGTTAAGTTACTATTGATCTGGATTGACTGAAAAGGCAGGAGATGACCAGGATGTGGGTTCTGACTTTGAAACACAGACAGTTCTGACATTTTGCACCAGCATTTTGTGGCAGGGGCCAGCGCTGCAGTTGCTGCTCTCCAGTGCCTGCACAGGTTACACCTTAGTTACTCAACCAATAATAAGCGAAATTCAAACCATTGCATAATCCAGTCATTCTTACAAGCACAGTCAAGGGCATCACAGTAAACAAAGGTTATGGTTTCCAGAGACCCTTAAAAGCCGGGGCCAAAGAGCACAATAAATACAGTGGTGGAAGAGCACAGACGTGTCGGGCGTCAGGGCAGAGGAGGCAGTGGCCATCTGTATCACCGGAGATGCATCTTTTTCGTGTGAACCTCCAGAGCCCAGCAGTACTGTCTGAGAAGAGGCACGAGGATGGAACAGGAGAGTAACATTCAGCCTGGCAACAGCATTTTCTCCTGCTTAATTCTTCGATTCTGGAAAACTTCAGTTGGCACGCACTGTTCACCCACAGAACAGGGCATGGTAAGGACAGAGTAAGGGCTTAAACACTCTGCTGTTATTGTCAAGGTTCTCAGACTAAAGACGACAAATAATACTGTAAGTTGAGGCAAGTTTTATTTAGACTGTACAAATGGCATTGGGGAAAAAACACAGTGGCTTGATGTTGGGACCAGTTCTATGAATTAAGTGGAGTAAGAAATTAAAAAGGCACTAATCTTAAGAAAAGACACTCTGTAAATTCTAAGAATATAATTCATTTAATACTGTTAATCTTATAGCACAAAAAATAAAACAAGCTATGATCCCCAAAATAAAATTTAAAAGCTTACACTTAATATTATTGCCTGAAGATCATGGTCTTTAAATTACATATTGTGTTTAAAAGTTTACACAGTGAAGACTGTCTCAATTACAAGGCCACCTTTCCCACTGCAATAATTGTATCCTTGTCCCAAAATACACTTTAACACAAATAAACAGAAAATGACAACTATACAGGAACGCTTTCACTGGTCCCAAAAGGCAGTCTTTTAGGCAGGTCTCACTTTCAAATGCAGGTATTGAGGAAAATGCTTGAAAACTGGACTAGAAAACAAAGGCAGCCCATTCATTCCCAGGATGTTAATACAATATAAAAAATTACTTTACAGGCACATGAAATGGCACAAAGAATGCTGTTTTTCCCTTTACAAAAATAATGCTCAGGCTCTTCAGAGCCTCAACCCAAACAGGATATTCCCTTTTGTTTATTCTTTCCCAATTTGTAAACAATCATGAATTAAATAAGCGCTTATCCAGTGATGGACACTGATTAAAACAGTTTTCATTTAAACTTTCAGACTGATCAGAGGCTTCAATGTCTATATACACATGTACACAGCAGGTGGAAGCCAAGCCTTTCGTGACAGTTGACTACTGTGGCACCAGGTCATTACACCAGCTCCTAGTTCCAAAGCAAGGACAGCTTTAATGGTGCATAGATCGAAGCCATCACTTGTAGGCTCTCATGCTTCATATCAAGGTTACCTTACACGCCCAAGAACATTTACACTGATAAGATTATCACTCAGATTTAAGAGGTTCCATAAAACAACAGCACATGTGTAAGCAAGCGACAAGCAATTGAGAATCCAGAGTCCCTCAAAGAGAAACACACACTGATCCAATGCAGTCTTTATATGAAAATACTTGTCTCGTAGTAAAATAGCCAAGACACATTTTGAAGCAAGGTTACAATCAGCTTAGGCTGGTCAGTATGCTACATTGAAACCACATTTTACATACCTGAACCACACCGCTGCTACTTGGAGAAACACTGTCCATTCATGGCATAAAATCAGGTTCACAGAAATTCAAGAATTCTTGTCTTTGCATCAGATACCACTACACACAAATTTTGCATAGTTTTGAAGGTAAAGTACTTTGCTTTTCTGCAGTATTGGAACATAATTAAACTTAAAACAATGTCTGTGTTCAAAGCGTACACCTTATTCAATGAGGGGATGAGTCAAGATGTTTATTTCAGTGAAAAAAAATCAGGTTAAAAGTTACGTTCAAGATCTCAAATCTCACAGTATTTATTTACCACGCAAAGGAAGAATTCTACAGTCAGTCTTCTGAAGAGCTGCCTGTAACTAGGTCAGGCCTGAAATAAGATTTCTCTGCAGCAGACTGAGTTTAGTGCAGTTTGTATTCAGAAGATGACTTTCAGTAGTACAATCTGTGTAGTAAACGTGCAGGTATTGTTAGGGCACAGGAAAAACATGACCTTCTTTAGTTAAGAGAACTGCATAGCTTTTCTTTGCAAGACAAAATGTCAATGCCTATTGTCAAGAATTACAGCACCAAACACTTCAGTCAATGCTACTCTACTTCACAGTTAATTTGGTAGTAAAATGCTCTACAAGAACTTCCAGACTGTCAGCCACTTGATCAATACTACAAAAAACAGTTAATAGATGAATGGAGAGATTTCTTCAAAACCTGGCATTTTGAATGTCTGCTTGTGAATGCCATTTCTGCAGTTCTTCAGTGCCTTCCAACTGAGGATCTCATGGCACTCCCACATCAACTACCAACAACAAGCTTTTATTAGGATCAAGCAACACAAATCAACAAGAAAACATGCTGGAACTTAAGACAATGTTTATATCATTAGACATTTGTAAGATCTGATGACATTCTGCAGGTATTTGAAGTTTCTCATTTTGCTGCAACCAACAGCCTACCAAAGTTGAAAAATGGGAGCTGCTGTTTTCCTGCCAGCTTCCACACTGGACATCTGCCTTAACCAGGCTGTCTGAGAAGGGAGGTTTTGTAGCTGTATCTTTGCAGACATGTATTCTGTTAATTCAGTGTTCCATCATTTTGAAATGAGCATTCCAGTTCACCTACACCACACATTTGAAGAAGGTGGCACAGGATTGCCCTGTGCCGACGCTTTCAGGTCCTGCACCCAGGCTCAGGCTGAGCACCCCAATGGTGCTCACCCAGCTGCAGCCAGGAGCTCCCTGCTGCAGAAAAATCACAGCAGGACAGCTCAGTAGGGAAAAAGCTACACAAAGAGGGAAGGAGCTACACTAGTAACAGACACCTCTGGGCCTCCTCCAGCCGAGCATTACCACATGGGGAACCCAGGCAAGCTGACTCCAATTGACCATTTTCTAGAGGATGCTGCGAAGGGGAGGGACCCTGGGCCATATATAAAACAGAGCCAATGCCTTAGGAAGGGTAAAAGAAAGATGTCAGCATGCAGAGGAGCTGGGATACAAGCAAGGAAAATGGAAAAAGAAGGAAGGGAAAAAAGATGAAAGCAGCTCTGGAAGAGAAGCAGAGCAACACAGACACTCTGGTAAAAAGGTACTGTGTTTGAAAAACAGCTTTTGATGAGCTGGGGCTGGTATAGCTAGGAAACTTTGGAGAGAGCAGGGAGCCTGCAGAGAAATGGATATAAATGGTCTTTAAATGTTTAAATAAGAGGATTTTATCAGTATTTACTAAATTCTTCTGTCCCACTCCTACCTCTCCTCATGGCAATCTGATCTGTCTACCAAGTAACAGCTTGACGACAAGCACTTCTGTGTAGTAAAACAACACTGCAGAAGAGCTGTATGTAGACCAGGCCAAAGTGTTTCCCCTTAAAGCTCATTTTCTACAGTTAGTGCTTGCAAAAATCAACAGAAATGCATTAAATATGTCAAAACCAAGTTACAAGTATCAACCCCTCCTAGGTTTCCTTATAAATAAATGCCTCAGCGTCAATGCAGCTCAATCAATGGTTATTTGCATTTAACACACACTGTTTTAGGAAGGTCAACAACAAGCTTAAGAGTTAACAGAAAAGAGCAGTGTCTAATACAACTGCTTAGAATACATAAGCTCCAATTATTGTCCTCTAAAGAAACCATCATTTTAAATGTACTACCTTAGGACAGGTAATTTCAAAACTAAATCTTCTTCAGTTCTAAAATTGCATTTTTGTTGTTGCTTTTTGTTGGACAGTAATGCACAAAGTTGCATGTTTGACCTAAGATTGGGCTCTTCCTACTGAGCAAACCAGAAAATGTCCATGGAAGTCTCAACAGGAAAGGTTTTTTCCCCATACCTCTCTGCTATATTCCGGTTCAGTCTTCTCCAGCTTAAGGCCCAAAAAAGTTTTAAAAATGAAACTAAATTCATGATGCAACTATGGTCTGAAGGTCAGGCAGTGACTTCAGTTGTATGTATTCCAAATGTATATTAAAAGAACTGTCAACTGCAGCAAGCTGGAAAATGGGCAAGGCTAGCAATGTGCCATTAAGTCATCATCCCACCTCAAACAATGCTAATGATAGCCAGGAAAATGAAGCAGCAGTGTAAATCGGGCAGAGGGAGTCACTCGTTCTCGTCTGGGTTTTGAGGGTCAAATAGCTGGACATGCGTGAAAGGGAAGAGCCCTTTGCGACCGTTGACTTCTCCTTCCCACTGACCGTTTATATTCATCCTCGTGACCTTCACAATATCTCCAACCTGCAGAATTAGAAACAAAAAATCTCCTTATCATACTTGGGATTCTCACCTCTGATAAAAATCAAATGAAGAACACAAACAAGCCCATCATAGGGAAAGAAATCTTGCCCTCTTCTTGGCAGAAGGTTCAACTGAAAAGTTGATTTTACTGAACTACAATACCAGCACTTTGTTGCTAAACATAATAATGTTGTCTGTTCTCTGAGATTCTTAATTACATCTATATTTATAAAGATTACTGAACTACACCTCTTTTTATAGGAGAGCTTACAGCTTCATGCTGTATCTTTAGCTTAGATATAAATTCACATCAGTAACGCTACCATCAGTGATGAGTCACAACATCCTTTCAAAAGAGCACAGTACTAGGACTGGTTTTAGCAGCAGATAACTTAAAAGAAATGTAGCTTTTCTAAGAAAGACTCCTAAGGCAAAGAAACCATTACTTGAAGCTCTAATTCTGATGATCACAGTCTAAGAAACCTTCTGTAATTTCTAAAATAATGGTACACTTCCAAAGTGGGGAAAAGCAATCTCAAACTTTTATTTTTTTAGTAGTAGTAGATGTAGATTCTAACTTTATTTGTGGTTTTCACATCTACTTCCTGTCAAAGCATTTGTAGCAGGAATGATGATATGTCAGGCCTTTCCTACCGTACCTATTTTCTTCCTATCTGGCAGTGGAAAATGAGAGAAGTCTAAGCTACGATCAAGCAAGAAACAACAGCCCAAATGATGACAAATTATACTCTCACTGTTCAACTGCTGTATTTAATCTGGATTAGGACAATTTACAAAATGAAACATCCAAATTGACAAGAAGCTTTTAAAACAAGCTAAATACTCATTCTTCTGAGATGCTTCTGGAGAGCTGAACACGTGGTCTATTACAGCAGCTCTCTAACTTTCCCCCTCCCTTCCTGTTTACTTATTTGACTCTATGTGGTAACTACATTAAATAAAATAAATATTAGACAAGTGACATTAGCAGCTAAAAACTAATTTTACAAACAGTAGAACCAGCCTATGACCAATGCCCAACAGTTTGTTTCTTTCTCAAACTAGGTCCAAGCTCTTTGTAATTGAGTCTCAGTTATCAAACTACTGCTGTGAAATTCAAAGGAAACTAGCTTTAATCTTATTAAGGAAAACATAGACATTGATACAGCATAGAAAGCAATTTGTCTACATTTTCTAAATAGTATTGAAATTCAGACCGGTTAAAGGTAGGCCCTTGGCAACATCCTTAAACTTTTCAGGTGAGACTTGTATATTTTATGTTAAAGAAAAAGCCCTGAGTTTACAAAACAATGTGTATGTCACTAGATGATTTGAAGCCCATTTAACCCATTAAGCCCATTACTGTAACAGGTATTTTTGAAGATCACACAGAAGCAAGAACCCTGAAGTGAAATTTAAGATACTATAATAAACTGGTTGGCAGTCAGACACTCAGTGTAATGTCTCTTAAAATAAAATTCATTGAACTTTGAAACTATTCTCAGAGATTTAAGCCTTACATGTTGCTCTGCTTCCCTACTTTTTCTTCACTACTTTGGCCGTCTGCGTTCTGTCTGCCTCCCATATTTGAGACTGTCTCACTTGGAACAATTGTAATCTTGTGCTTTTGAGAGGGGAGAAAATCCTTTGAAGTCCACTGAGGCCATATACCTTTCTTAAATGGACAATTTTATATTTGCTGCTCCTAAACTCAAACATGAAGTCAGCATACAGAATTAAGCAGTTAAACACTGCGTGTACACACAGAATCTGCCTGACTGCTTTTCAGTCTCCAGGGCCTGCTGCAGCATGCTCTGATTGTATATTTGCTAAAAAGCACAATTTGTCAGACTCCTCACTCAAGAAAGCTTTAAATAGTAACAAGATGACCTAAACAGGAACCCAGCAAATGTTTCTTTAGGAAAATGCTGATAAGATCTATAAATACTCAGTGTTACATTTGCTACATTTAAATAACCCTTGAAGACAGATGTAAGTTCCAAATTCTAGACCCAGCCTGAGGAAGATGCAGTTAACATCACAACAGTTTAAAGCTAATGAGTTGTGTTTTCACTACATCATAAACCAAACCCACTCTCAAACCCTTTAATCTTAAAAATAATCTTTTGAATCAAAAAAGTGGACCTGCATTTTCTGAGTCTGACAAAGTAATTCTGTTCATGTGCTGTAGAGATCAAGCCAATATTCATTCTGATGCTCTAGAACAGATATTCTTCAGCTTGGTTTTGAAAGACTTCACAGTGTGAGTAGGTTTGGAAATCTTTGCTTCAGCTGAGTGAAAAGAGTATTTAAAATATGTCTCCTATTGTATGGCAACAAACTGCTCTGTAGATTAATGATGTAAAATGTCCTTCATACTGCTAAGTGGGCAAAGCTGCTGCATACCAGCATCTGCCACTAAAGAGAGCTGGCTGAAAAAAGCTGCTCAAAACATACTCCCATATGCTGAGAACCACTGGAATAGTAAATTAATTTGCAATAACTTTCAACTATTTTTGAGAGGGTTTTTTTTTATGAAAGCTGCTGAATATCCTCTTGTGCTGTATTATTTTAAAAATGTAGTTTCTCTGAGAAGACTAAATGAAACAGCATGTTGAAATAATTAGTGCAGGAACCTTGATTTCATGCTGGACTTATTCATGGATCTTACCTGAAGGACCTTCATTTCAAATGTATTTTTCCCCCAAGTAAAAGCATTATTTCATAAATGCCTTGTAAAGCATCTATAGCATGGTCAGCTGAGGTCCAATCTCCCACTAAAATTATTTAACACACTAGCTTTTTTAGAGAATGTTTTAAAGCAGCGAGAAGAATTGTCTTATGATTAGGCACAGGACAGAGTCAGGAGACGTGGTTCTATTCTCATCTCTGCCACAAACTTCCTGTATGACTCTGGACAGCTAATAGCCCTTATCTACAGATGAGGAGAACACTTCCTTAGACTCAGCATCTCTCAGACAAGTTAATCCAGTTGTGAAGCACACCAGCATGGCTGGAATGAAGTATCACTGCTGAAGTAATACTTCTGAAATGCAGCCATTTGGTTACACCCAAATGATAAAAATCAAAATGTATTTTAGATAGCATCTTTCATTATGTCCTTGTTAGAGCATGAATTCAAAGCCCTGGGGAAACAGAAGCTGTGGAACATGCCAGTCAGAAAGGTTACTTCATTCACTCTAGACTCTTCCATACCTGCCTTCCATTTGAAGCTGATTCATACTCTGCAAAAGGTTTCCTGCAAGCCATTTTAGTCAGCCAATTCAATGAGTTTTACAGATATTCCAACAATTCTATGTTAATAGTTCTATGACTGATAAAGTTCTGTAATATAAGTTTAAGGAGATAAAAATGCATTAAAATTCTAAATCATCATTTTAGCCCACTGGGGTCAGTCTATAGAAAACATTGCTCTCTGGAATCTACAGGGGGTTAAATCTCAGTCATTATCCTAATTAGTGTCACAGCTCACCTCCTCTGGTAACACTAACATCAATATCAAAACAAAACAGTTCTTCAGGTCCAACACTGAGAAAATACCTGATACCCCACTGTCCCCAAAGTGAGGAGCTACACAAGAGAGGCAGAGTTCAGCCACTCTGCAAACAGGACAAAAGGACACTGAAGGAACTGCTGCTGTATTGGAAGATCCAAGAAAGCACCAAGCTAAAAGCACAGCCTAATTATCCTTCAGTTCTGATGTTCTGGGCCAGAACACAATTGATGCCCAAACTGGAGAATCAAAGAGTTCAGAGGAAAAGCTTCATCCATTCCTGGAAGTGCTAGATGCAATTAACCAGGCCTCACCTAGGAACAGATTAAAACAAAGGAACTTTGCATTTCACCAAGAGCCAGGAAAGCTGTCAGAGCAGGGGCTGCAGCATCAAATAAGTGCTGCATTCATTACAGGTGCTAGTCTGTCTCCTTCAGATTGAGTCACTGTCGTGACTATACAGAATTTGGAGAGTTCACTTTCAGTTCAACAGTTATAGCAACTAAAGCTCCCTGATCAATAGCTCACACTACACAAATATAGGATCAATACTTTGCTTAAAATTCAGACTTTGTGGGTTAGATGCATTCTAATGTGTAACACAGCAAGGCTAAATTTCCTTGGCTTAAGAAAAACACAATGCTTGTTGTCTACTGAAAGAAGTAGCCTAATTTCCTAATTAAGAAAGTTCTACTGCTAGCACATTTTGGCCTACTTGTATCAACTTCCCTTTGAAGAGGGAAAAAGTTAACTGTAACCTAATTGTAACAAGCTCAAGAGAAATATTATAAGTCAGTTATATAATTATGGTGGATGGATATTTATTTAACCAAAACATTTCAGTGACAGGGTAACTTTGTACTAGCAAATATATACGTGTATGATTGCTACATTACAAAAAGGTAAGCTACTTAATACTATAATGCAGACACAAGTCTATAAAACACTAGTATAAAAACTTTTAAAAATATAGTACAACTCATGTTTAAAAAGAAAAAATAAATCTTTGATTCCATAACACTATTAAGTCTGGAAATGATCTCTAGAACCACTGTGGCCTTCAAAATTTACTATGACACTGATTAGAGCATTGGTGATACATTTAAGAATATTTTTTTGAGTTCAACAAGTATAAATCTGACGGCTGCTGCTGGTCTCCTGCTGTCTGGCTCCTCACCCTATTTCATTCCATGTTTTAAGTGACTGTAGAATTTGTTGTTCATGTCCTGGTTAGAGCCTGTCAGTTTGAAACAAGGCTTCACACTGTTTCTAATAGACTGCTTATAGAATTACTACAAGTTTTTAAAGGCTGGGAAACTTTCAGGTAGACTTTGCTGCTCTGTATCACAGTAAGATGCCAAAGAGTCAAATCAATCACCTTCTTAAAGTGTAAGTCCTTGGAACAGTGATTGCCCTCCTGGTTTTCCCATAGTAATCAGGAGGATGGAAGAACAGCAATGCATAACCCTGTGGTGCAGAGTTTTGGTCCCAATAAGCACAGGACACTGTAACCCTGTCCTTTGTAGCCCTTCCTCTACAGCACCAGAAAGGAAGGAAATTGCTTCTTGGCTAGAAGTACACAAGTAAAGAAACAGACCTGGCTCCTCTGCTGTTGAGCTTTTCGGTTAGGGGTTGGGTTTGGTGGTTTCTATTTTTATTTTGTAGCTTGCTTGTTTAGTGGTTTGGGTTTTTTTAATGCAGTATCCATAAAATTGTACACATATTAGGAATGAAGTTAGTTGTAGTCAGAAGCTACAAACTTCAATCTGTAGAATTTCATATTCATTAAAAACAATAAATCTAAACTGTGAAAGTAACTCAACAGATAAGAGCATAAGTAAATCTTAGAAATATATGTAATTTATTGTAGACTTTATTAACTGTTCCCTGGTGCAGGGAGATGCACAAAATTACATGTACCACCAGCTGTATGCTTTGAGATATTGTCTATACTTAAAACTAGCATTTTAGCCTATAAACAAATTAAAATTTATTTTTTAATTTCAGAGAATAAAAGTGGGGTATATAACACAATAGGATCGAGTCAAGACTTAGGCATTAGTAACTTCAATAACACCAATATTGTTACCCAGAGAGGCTGTGAACTCCCCATCCCTGGAAGTGTCCAAGGCCATGCTGGATGGATCCACCTGGGTTAGTAGAAGGTGTCCCTGCCCATGGCAGGGGTTGAAAAGAAATGAGCTCTAAGGTCCTATCCAACCCAAACCACTCTGTGAGTCTATATAATGTTAAATAAACTTAGCCCAGCAAAAATAAATGCCCTACTACTATCCTACAGAAGTAAAATTGTAGTTGCTCTTAAATCGTCACACTTCTAAACTCACTAGTTGAATTTATCTGTATCCAATCTATCAGATCTCATTTCAGATTTTCTGCAGAACAGTCATTTGGTCACTTATATTTTTCATGTAATAAATTAAAAAAACAACAACAAAAAAAAACTTGCTTACAAAACAAACTTCACTGTAATAGGCTATAAATTCTTACCTTTTCTTAAGGAAAAATTCTGTCAGCTTCTGTAAACAATAGTGTACAATGGAAACACTGGCCTTGCAGGCAGGGAGCTTGTCCCATTTTCAAGCTGAACCAAGAAGAATGACACTGCTCCACTTAAAAGGAAGTCGAGCAGATTACTGTGCCATGGCTTTATTTACTCCAGATGCTATTCTCTTCCTTTTAAGTACTGTCTGTGTGCTGGCCACACAAGGCTACAGCCAGCAAACAGATATTTTGCTTTCATATTGCTTTATCAGTTGAGATGAGGTTGCACAATCAGCAACCATGTAATTACACTCACAAGGTGTGCTACCTGTACAAGTGAACAGCCACTTAGGGTACACCTATTCTGAGGGGGAGAACTATCAAATAATATTTTTATCAAAGAACACCATTAACTTTCTTCCCCAAAACAGTCCCATAGCCTGTTTTTTGTCTAACACTACTTTCAGTGGTCTTACAAAACAGAAGTTTCAAATGGTTCAGTTTATTTAGTAATGTGTAGAGCCCTCAGAAGGCTAGGATTAAATATTTTATCAGGATCCTGCAAGGGATTGGCAAACTAAAGAAAAATAATGAAAAGGAGCTGAATTATTTTTTCTTTAAGAATAGCCTATGTGACAATAAAAGTTGCTGAAGTCCCCTATGCATGGATAGATATGGAGAAGCTGCAGTCACTGATTTCAATGAAAATGTAGAACAGTTCCCAGAATTCTGCTTCTGAAGCCTCTTGAGAAGCCACAGTGTGGATGAGGTACACTTGCAAAGAAAACAAACGGCACGGGAAGGCAAAATATGCCAGTGTTGAGAGACACAAAAACATGAGGCAGTAAGTGATTAGAGGATGAAAAGAATCTCTCAAACAAACTTCAGTAATCTGAGGGTTCAAACCAAGTCAAACCTATTTGTTGGCCAGAGAAATAATCCTACTGGTATTCTAGAGTAGCTAAACTGATGGGGCTAACTAGGTCACTTAAAGGACAAGTCAGAAAAGTTGATATGTAAGGACCAACCTTCCAAGTGGTTCTGCAAGTTCCCTGAAGTAATTCCATGACACATTGATAACATCACAAGATCAATCACTTGCCTTGCTTTGCTTTCAGAAGCATGAGTAGTTTTGGCAGGAATTTTCTGTACAGTGCAGTTGGCAGTGAATTTACACTTTGTTCTATGGTAATTTTCACACACTGTTCACAAATATCAAGCTGCTAGTTTTCACAAGACAAAGGAATTCCAGTGATTCATATTTAACTTTTAACCCCACAAGAGCAACCTTAGAAGTCTTACAAATACAGGAGTAAAGCAATTAGGGTGAGCACTCTGAATAATGGGAAGTCACAAATATAAACTTCCAAATTTCAGTCAAAAGTATCAGCCATAGGCTTTAACTTGCAAAGTAACTGAGCAAAAACAACAGGAAAAGTTCAAAAGTATTTTAAAAACCATTATTTTTTTACTTGCTAAAATGTTGCTGCTTCCTATGCTTGTTTGCTTGCATTTGTGCCTGGAAGTATTGCAGCATGCTCAAATTTCACTTTTTCCAGTGAGTCATTTTTGAATTACAGGTTAATTAGCCTTCAGTATCATCTAAATGTGAAAGTAACAGTCTTCTGGAGATAGCTTTGACAAACTTCTTCCAATCAATCATTTATTCCAGTTAAACTAGAAGTACAATATGAATTATTTACAGAATAACACTCTATAAAGTTTTACAAGATGTCTCTAATAAAAATAAAATTTAAAATGCAATAGCAAGCACAGGAACTTGCAGCACTTTAGAGGTTACACTACACTCCTTACCCCCAGTTTAGGTGTTAAGGTTTCTTAAATTCCACTTTTGAAAACCAAAGCAAAAGGGACTAGAATATTTCTGATATATTCTGCCCAGATTTTACCTCTCAGCACAAGATCTTCAAGTGCATCTCACAGCTGAGGATCAGAACCACTAAGTGTAAAGCCACCAATCTTTACCTTTCTCTGGAGGATGCCACTGTCAGTTCTTCGCCTGGAACTCTACAATGATTAAGGAAACATCTCTTTCCTTCCTCAAGATTAGGTGAAGAAGCAAAGCCATCCTCTCACTAGCACTTCTTCAGCATGTGTACACTCTGCTACGCTGGTAACATTTGCACAGTTGAACAAGCAAGAAGGGAGGGAAAATACAGATCCTGAAGTTACTTACTAGGTCACTTTTCTCAAAGGAAGTGGTATAGATGAAGCAATTCTTGTGGATGTTTCTTCAGAATGTAACCTAACTTCTCGGTCCCTCAACATAAATAAACAGACTCCACATGAAGTCATCCACATCAACTTCACCATAACAATTTTTAGTTTCTTCTTTCACAAGCAATTGAAAACTCTGAGACTGGAGTAAAAACTTACCTCTAATGCCAGCGCAGTCTTGTCATAAGCACAGGGTACTCTCTTTTGGACAGCTTTGGCATAGACTGGTCCATTCTGTGTGGATGGCAGAGGATTGATCACTGCTCCAGGTGTGCTGGATACTGAGGGAAGGGGAGTTGCGGTTTGAGGCTGAGCATAAGCATGGGCAGGTTCTGGAATACCGTAACTGTTGGAATTCCTGTTTCCATGCTTCCCAATTGAAGATCTGACTAGCTTTTCTACGTAAGGAACAGGAATCATCCCAATCCGACCCTCCTTGTTTCTGGCACTCCACCACTGTTCTTCTGGCTTCTCTACAATTACCAGTATCTCGCCCTTTTTGAATGGGAGATCCTCAGCATCGTTGCCAGGAAAGTCATAGAGAGTCCGAACACACTCCACGTTTTCCTCTGCAGCGGACATAGCAGGGGCAGATCCAGATCCCATTGGTGGACTTGGATACCTGAAGATTTGGTAAAAGTAACAGCTTGGTTTGTATTTCCAGTAACAAACTAAGTACTAGGTTTGCAGCTAGTACTTAGGAACATCAATTAGAGAAGGATTAATTACTTGGGTTTGTAACCAAATCACTGGCTTGGTAGTATTGTGAGGCATTTCATGAGTAACTCACACTTCTCAAATAATGACTTAAATACCCAAAGAAGCCTCCCCAGAAGCCCAAAATAATCTATCATGGGATGCAGAAAACTGGAGAAATCATGCAAAATCTTCATCCACCTGTTCTGGATTGTTGTGATGATCTTAGAGTCAAATTAATTCTATATCTTAAGTTATCAGAGTAATGGTACAGAAAACCAAATTAAGACTATTTGGGGGATTGAGGTGGAAGGGCAATACATAAAAATGTAGCTGTGAATCTCTCCAAAAGTCCCCCACCACCTCCAAAGTCGTCCAAATAATATGATTTTGTTTTTAACGTCAGCATCTACTTCTAAAGAATTCAGTAAGTAAATGCTAGACTTGAAGTACCATAGAGCAAAAAGGGAACAAAAGTAAGATGGTATGACATCTTCATAAAGACAGTATGAAATAAGAAGGAACTAAGAAAAAGAAAAAAAGCTAGCATTCTATAAATATTCCTTTGCCTATTTACCTATTAACCATATTATCTATAATTTATTTACATAATTGTTTATTACTATGTCCATCATTTGTCAAATACAGTCACTTTGTTGTCTGTGATAATATATAAGATTGTCCATCAAATGAGAATGCTTTTACTATTTTCATCATAAATGTTATACATTTTATTCAAAGCAGCTGTCAAAAAACTTTAGTGGATATAGGCCACAGCAGATACCTTATTATCTAAGCTATGATAGCAAGGATGCATGTCATTAACCTACTTCAAATCTCTTTTGCTACTTGCAAAATACGATGGAAGTCAAATCCCTGTGATTTTTCCATGATATGCCAGAAGCCCTGAAGATAAAGATATTCCATCTTTAGACACCCTGCTGCAGCCAAAGCAGGGGGACAGAGGGAAGCCTTCAGGGAACAATTGCTCTGCATAAGCAAGAGCTCAGGAACATCAGCAAGGATGGTCAGAGCTCACTGCTAGAGACACAAAACAAACAGAAAGTTTAAAATTGTCCATTTAGGACTGTTTTAAAAGTTTAAGATGGCATCTCCAAGATCTAGAAGTACTGTAGGGCTCTATATAGAAACCACCTTTCAGACTGTACTTTATGAAATTAAGAATGAACAGCTTTCAAAAGCACAAGCATCTGTGCCCAGGAAAATGCCAGAGAAATAGGAATTAGCATAACAGTTTTGAAGCACATACCTGGCCACCCCTATTCTAAATCTAGTCTATTAACTAAAAATTAAAAAAAAAAAAAAAAAAATCTGGAAATTCTATCTTTCATCATCCCTCTTGCAGCAGGAAGTCTCCTTTGCACAGAATTTAAAACCATCAACCACATAACTGATTTTTCTAAGAGTTTTAACAAAGACATTGTAAGGAAAAAGACATAGTCAATCCTATTTGTAGCTCTATAAAAAAGCTAAAAATGTCAATTCCCTGCAGGTTAGGTTCCATTTGTCTGTGTGCTGAGAGAACAATATGCAACCAAAACCTTGAAAATAAGGTGGTACTAAAATGTTCACAGAACATTTCACACAGGACTCCTCAAACTCCACAAATACCAAGTGTGCAAGTGCAATCAGCTCCAAGTTCTCAAGTGCTTTGAAAAAGCCAAGCCAGTCATGGCCATAAATGATTAATAGCAAGTTTTTGCATCCAGAAAGGTTCAAGAGTATCCAGACTGGAGAACAGAGATAAGCATGAAGATTGCTTCAGCATAAGACTTTTATTCTTCCCAACTCTCCACAAGTTTAAGCATGCACATAACACTGGGCAGCTCCATTTAAGCATTCCTGCAATGGTGAAAACAAATTTTTTTTCATCTACCCATCTCTCTAGCCACAATCACTACCCAAAAGGCTGCCAGCAGACTGAATAGTTCCTGAAGGTTGTGCTTTCTGTCACATCCTGCCCATCACTTGACAGCTTTTCAGAGTGACTTTTGAAATTGGGTTTTTCAACTTGACAAGCTATTGTCAATCTTTGACAAGTGACTGTCATTAAGTACTGGTCTATGCCAAGGTTCAATTGTGATTATAAACCTAAAAGTTATTCTTCCCTCCTAAGAACTTGCTCATCTGTAAAACATAATAAGATATTAAAATGCAGAATTCAGAAGTGAACCAATTTGGATTTATTTTTTCAATATGCCACTGCTTCTCTCTTATTTAATTTCATTCTATCCAGGAAGCCCAAAAGTTTTGACAAAAGATACTGAGAAAGGTTTTATTAATTAAAATAGGATTCCTCATAAGCAGTTTACTGATGCATGTTGCAGGTATGTCCCATGCTGGGACCAGGACAAAGAAGGAGCTCATAGCCAAGTCACATTTTCCCATCCTCCTAGAACAGCATTTCTCAGTGAAGTGTATGGTATATGCAGATATAGATGAACAGTGCCATTAGCAATCTGTGAGAAAATAAGTGTTATACATTTTTTTGGTGCAGAAATGCCACTCTAGAAGTTTGGCAAATGCTGCACTATGTATTAACGCTGACCTAACAGGGCGAAGCAGTCTAATCACATAAAAGCCAGTCCTATTGTAATCAGTGTGGGTGCAGGGGTAGACAGCAAACTAAGCTCAGAGGCTGTACTTCAATCACGGAGAGGACTGGTGAACCAGCTTCTCAACCATCCTTGGAACAGAGAGACAATAGTAGAAGAAAAGAGTAACACAAAAAGAATGACGTACGACCACACCCTCTTTCAAGGCCATTACAGCCCGTGGCAGATGTACATGGTACCTTTACACACAAGGTCAGCACACGGAGAGTGGATGATTGCACTGAAAGAGCAACACTTTTAATTGTCGGGGAGATCCAGAGCGTTAAAGCCCAGCGTTAGCAACGAATGTTTCCTTATTATTTATTCATAGCATCTACATCCAGTGCCAGGCTCCGGAGCTCATGGGCTGGACTGTGACACCTTTACAGGTCGCACGTCCTGGCGCCACTCGGAGCAAAGGTGGCGGTGGGTGTGGCGGGGGACACTCACCTGGGCGCGGGCTCGATGAGGGTGGTGGTGTCCAGGTAGTGGATCTTATAGAACTCCAGCAGGGCGGGCAGGTGCTCGAACTCCTGGTCGCCGATCTTAAAGCGGCGGTTGGGCAGGGAGTTGATGATGTAGTGGGAGACGCGGGAGTTCTCGGACACCGAGAGCACGTAGTCCCCCGGGCAGGTGGATGAGTCCCGCACCAGGAACATGCCGTGCCGCTGCCCCTGCAGCCGCGTCTGCGCCTCCGCCCGGGACACCGGGCCCACGTACCAGCTGGAGCGGTCCGACGAATCGAAACGAGCGGCGGAGGACATGGCTCCGGGCGGGGAAGGGGAAGGAAAGGGAGGAAGGAAGGTGAGGAGCCCGGAGGCCCAGGCGGAGGAAGAGACCCGGAGAAGAGGAGGCCTGGGCAGAGAGGCCTGGGAGGTGGAGCGGGCTGGGGGCGAGCGGGAAGCGGCTCGTGCTTAGTCCAGGAGAAAGGAAACCCAGGGCGAGGGGGATAAGGGAAGCTCCGTGCCGCTGGAGGCGAAGGGCCGAGGAGCGGCTGGGGTGGGGCTGGCCAGACGCGGCGCGCAGGGCCCCCGAGTCTCCCTCAGCGGCGGGGTGTGCAGGGCATCCTTCCCGCCTCTCTCAGGCCTGCGGCCGGCCCGGCCAGGCGGGTGACGAAGAGCAGCGGCGGCTGGCACGGCCGGGCGGCCCGGGAAGGCGGCGAGCGGAGCCGGCCCGGCTCGGGGCGGGACGAGGAGGCAGAAGCGCCGGGCGCCGCGTCCTCCCGCGGGTTCCTCCCCTCGCGAGCCCAGCTCCAAAATGGCGGCGGCGCCGGGCCGCGCGAGCGCCGCGAGACACCGCCCCGCGCACGCGCCATGGCGGCGGCGGCAGCGCGCGGCCGCGCCCGCCTCAGGGGCCGGGCGGGGGGTTCGTGCCCCGGAGCCCCGTCCTGGCGCCCCGGGGAGCGGCAGAGCCGCGCCTTCCCCGTTCCTCCGCGACAGTCACTCAAGCCATCCTCGGTGCACCCCCGCTCGGTGCGGTGAGTGAGGCGGGGGTGACCGCATCCCCTCACAGGGCAGGGCTCCCTCAGTGCTGCAGGCGCGCTTTGACGCGGGTCACCCCCCAGAAACTCCCCAGCCCTTGGCCTTCAGGTGTCTGAGGGGGACCCTCCATCTTCCCCCCATCCCTCTCGGCACGTTCTCCCTGCTCGGTGCCGCCCAGCCCTCGGCTTTGCTCCCGGGACTGCCTCGGGCTGCTCTCGCTGCTCCCGGATCCGAAGGGTGCCAGCACCCTGACCCCAGGCGGTTTGCAGACATACACCACCTCTCCTGAGGTTTTGCTGGTTTTTACTAGTTAATTAATTTTCTTTTAAGGAACAAAACGGCCCGCTGTGATAATCATCTCTGATCTCGAGATAATTTCCTACGTGCTCTAAGGGGCCGTTTCCTGCCTCTTCGCAGCTTTGTTCCCAGATAACGGGGTCAAAGCCCAGCCTGGCCCGGGCGGGAGGGAAGATGGTGTGGCGGCCGCTGAGGAGGAAGGAAGGCCCGGAAAGGACTCGGCAGGGCTCGGGGGCAGCACTTGGCACACGGTGCGGATGAGCTGTTTGAATTTGAGAGGGAGGTTGGCGCCGAGAGCCCAGACAGGCACCGAGCCGTGACTCACGTCCCGGGGGCCGGCAGCGCCATTCGGCCCGTCCAGCCGCACTGGGCCCGGGCGGGACAGAATAACTGACAGAATAACTGACAGAATAACTGCGCTGCCTCTCCGGAGGTGCTAGAAACCTCTGCGAACGGTGTGATTTTAGCCCAGCCTTGTGACTTTAATTTATGCTTTTTAAATTCATTTTGCTTCAGGGCTGGCAATGTGAAACGAAGCAGCACTTGAAAAAAAAAAAAAAAAAAAAAAGAAAAAAAGCCAGTTCAAATGAGAAATAGATTTGTCTGTCTTGAAGCGCTTAGCTGGACTATTGTGCAGTGTTATTCCAGCTTTGCTGTCTTTTTTTCATGCTCTGACTTTTCCAAAAATTTAGTCATTACACAGTCATATTTTTCCTTTGTTCCTCATCCTACATTGGCAACCAGTGCCAACTGAGGTGTCTGGATTGTAACATATGGGCTGTGTCTCTGCAGACATTTAGCAGAGTTCAGATCATCTAAAATGGAAGACTTCTCCAGTGTCATGTTTTAGACAAAACCATCCAGGAAAAGTCTCATCATTGAGATGAAAGGATCTTAAAGCAGCCCCTGAATCCATGAGCAGGTATCATTTTACCAGCTGCTGACATACAGCCATCTCCTGGGTGGAAAACAACAGCTGTTAGTCATGTACAGCAAAACAGTGACCTAGAGATGAATAATTACATCTGAAAATTCACATCTGTGCAAAAAAATTTTGTCCATTACTAGGAAAGCTTACTTAGTAGCTATACCTCTGATCCATTCCTCCTGGTTTAAGTTCCTCTTACTCTGCCAGTAACAGCCAATTTTAAACAGTTGTAGACAGGCTAAAATAGAATATGAAGGTTATGATGTTTTCTTGTGTAATTTGAACAGATCTGGCTTGTTTTCTGTTTGACCATGGCCAAAATACAGATTGAAAAATAGCAGTTGGACTTGCAATAATATAGTAAATAACATTTAAAATAATTACAAAAGGTGTAAGTTAGCAGCACATTTAGTAACTCATAGTATATAAAAAGGAAATAAAAATTCCTGTGGCTTCATTTTGTTGAATTACAATTTTTGTTAAAATAAAAATCAAATATGCATAGTGATTTTGCCTCTATTTTGTACAGATAATACTAGAATCTCAAAATAGTTGGAACATGTCAGAAATAAGTAGTATTAATTATAAACCAGTTTTTGTGCAGTACTGCATGGGGCTGGACTGCTGCTGAAGAACCAACACTTCCACCTTCCCATCCAGAGAGGATTCTAAGGCATGGAGAGGTTTTCAGTTTGAACGAACTTTCAAATTAGATGTTCTGAACTTGTATATGTGCAGGTTGCGTGCATCCTTCAAGTAATTCCCTCTGTTTTAGTAACTGGGGTTAAACTAAACCAGGTATTTTAGGTAAAAGATCCCACATATAAGCAATATCTCATCTCATATCTTCCATATGAGAAAAAGTTAACTTGTTCATCATTAAGGCTTTCTCACAAGACTGGGCTTCAACTTCCTAGACTACAGACAATAATCTCAGGTGTATTACATCCCTACAAATGCATTTGGTTTAGGAAGAATGGATGACTGTCTGGTACCACTTTATCTTTTTAGTACATATAAATACCTTTATGCTTTTTGACTTTACCTGTTGGCAGCTGAGCATGGCCAGTTTTAATGCAGTGGGGAGCTCAAAAGTGCATCAGCTGCCCATGAAACAAAACCTCAGCTGGCAGAATATTCCCTTGAGAAGGCCCTGTACCTCTTTCCCTGTGCCAGCTGTTCCTTCTTCCTTTTCACCAGAAGCTTCTTCCTTTCACCAGATCCCATCAATTGGGCTGAGTGCCAAATAAATTGTACATGTGGCTCATCCCTAAGTAAGAAATACATTTCTGTCAAGGGTACAGAATAAGAGTCCTTATTTTGTTTCAGATCAAGTACTGGGTATGCTTCCAATACAAAATTAATGACCCTAATTTGAACTATGAGGAAAATGGGAAAGGATATGTTGGATTTGGAAGTAGACAGCTGGAGAAGAAATACAGTAGTGAAAGCAGTTATGAAACAAAACTGAAGCAATCACAATAATTTCTGCAAATATGGAAAATGGAAGCCTGAAATATTTCAGGATACAAGTCCACTAATTACAAATCTGGCAAATATGCCTGTACAGCTTTACCTCTGTGCTGGCAGGAAATAGGAAAATAGATCATCAAGAAAGCTAATTACTATTCTTCTGGACTTCCTAATGTATCAGCAGTTTAAGTGTTGGTATTTTGATCACTCATTTCTGGAAGAGCTGGTTGATTGTTCTCTCACAGACCAGAAATAACTTACAGCTTTCTTAGATCATTGTCCATCTGTCCACAATGTCTTGTTTTATACTAGCTCAGGGAGCTTACTGTAAAAAAAAAAAAAAAAAAAAAAAAAAAAAGCCTTTTACTGTCAGATACAAGATTGACATATTTAGGACACCAGAGAAGTTATATGTATATTAAAAAAAAAAAAAAAAACAGAATCAGCTGGAAATCCCTATGAGTACATGTTTCTTTTGAGGTAACAAAGCTTAAGTGGGCTTGTGAAAGTTCAGTTCCTGAAGCATCATTCTTGATAGGAAAACGAATCAATAATAATTACAGCTCTGTGTATCAACCTGTAATCTTTCCTGCAATTTGTTTCTATAGGTAATGGTAGTAAACAAGAAGTAATTTATGTTTGCTGAGTAAAAGAAAATTGACATTTTTAAAGCAAAGCAATTTTATTATTATTTAGGCTGTGTGCTAGTTTGAAAAAAGGACATGCTGGCCTAAAGTGAGCTACTGCTAAAAAATTATTAGGATGGTTTGAGCTAAACTCCATGTTTTTTTACCTAAATGAAATACATGCAAGTAAAATAGTGCATACTGTAACTTTCAACAGTCACATTGTCCTCAGATGTAAAGAAATTTTGGGGCTGAAAGCAAAAAGTTATTTTTTTATCAAGTATTACCTGCCCTTAGGGTTAGTTCAAGTAACTTAGGGTTATTATACCAAATATATATATATATATATATATATATATATATATATATATATATCACTTAAATAAGTGAAAACAAGAGAAAAAATAATGCAATGCTAAGGTAGATGATCATCTGCTTTAAGTAATTTCCTTGCAACTGCATTCTAAGCCTTATATACATTAGCTTTTCAGAGCATCCAACAGCAACATTTAGTGAATAATGCAATCACAAAATACCATATGCTGATAAATGGAATAGTGGATGAGCTCTCTAGAATCAGTATTCACACACAGAAGGAGTGACAGGGTAGAAGCTGGAACCCCCCCCCCCCCCCCCAAAGTTTTCTCAAGATGTTTCTTTGGCTCATTAATTACTCATGAATGTCTTCTATTCTCCTATGTAATCTAAGAATTAGCCTCTCAGGTTGGTTATTTGTAACAGTGAGTAATACCCTCTAGTGGTACACATAGGAAAAGGAGATAGACAAAGAACGATTAATTCTTTTTTCATTGTTAAAGAGGCTAAGTAAGGTTTCATCTAAATAACAAAAATAACCCTGTATCTTTGTATAATACAGGGCATCACTGGTCTGTCTAGAGGTGCTAGTTAAAATGGAAAATGCGCTGCACTGAGTTAGATGTCAGAAATAATAATTTTAACCATTTGTTTGCAGATGAAACAAATTGCCACCTACAGTCTGGAGGGAGTGGTTCTAGTGACTCCCAGGTCAGAGAGGTATGTCCTTACATCTGAAGGCTACATTTAATTCCTACACATGACAAGTAACTCTGTAGGCAAAAAAGGAATATTTATTAGTCTCTAATATTGCAGTGTAATAAAGTCTGCCTTTCCAGACCCTGTGTGAAGTCCAGATTCACTATCAAAAAAGTATTTTCTGAAAAAGCTCATAATCAGGGTTTCCTGCAGTTACCAGGACTTTTGTTTTATTTGCCCATTGGCAAAGGTTCAGAGATGGAGGTGAAAATTGACAGTGCTGAAGCATAGAGTCCAACAAATGCCCCTCTTAACAAGAAAAAGCTATTGAACTTACTTAAACAAATAAGTTTAATGCAAATACCCTTGAATCCTTTCCAGAAGCCCAGTCTACTAAAACAGAGTAGTTTAGGTCTGTTTTGAAATAATCTTTGCTTCCATAAATAGAATACCCCCAAGCAGGGGGAATATCCAGGAACTTACTGCATTTCTCTGAAGTAGCACATCCATGTGCAGTGTGTGTCACAATGTGATGACACTTGCCTAGTCCCATGTCATTCTGATTGTCACCGGTTTTGCCTTTCTGCAACCCCAGTATTGCTCTGAGATTTAAAAGCTTTTGGGAGTTTTTCAGGATTTTCTGGTGCACTGATTACTCCACCCCTCCAAGAGGAAGGATCTCACAGTGTTCAGTATCACACTGGTTCAGAATTTATATCAGCTTCTAACCTAATGTTAAGCAAGATGGGAGTCAGAAACCAATTGTTTAAAAGCCCCATGAAGGAAGGATTTACTGTGCCTTATCTTTCTCAGCTGTAGTTCCTGGCATTAGTTCAGCTACTGCAGAGTCTTGGACCAGTGTAATCTTCCATACTTCTTATTATCTCATTATTTTTTTATTTTGCTGTGGCAAACCAATCTCTGTTTTCTTTATTCTCTTCTAAAACATATAATAAAAGAATGAAAAAAAATTGGAGTAACTTTGCCAATCCTGCTGTAGGATATAATGACACTTTCAGCCGCCACATCACTCTTAATAAAACAGAGACAGCAGTTTAAAAAGTTCTGACAAGAATTTATTAATTTATGGTTGAGAACAAATGTGTCTGACAGTGGAATGATGAGATTACCACATTCTGTACAGAGAGATCTTTCTAGAAATCTTCTTTCCACTGTGTTGACAGAACTTGCAGTATAGAAGTTCAGGAGTGGGTGTCAGTTCACAGACTCTCAGCCAGTTACAAGGATGGCTGCATGCCCAGATGAGATGAAGGTTCAGACTTTCCTGCTACTGTTCCTGTTTCTTTATGTTCACTCTTGCTGAAAAACTAATCAAGCTGTCTGACACCTGGCACAGGAGGGCACCACTAGGTGTTACCTTCCTGTATTAAGCTGGCTAGGAAGTTCTATTACCCAAAAGAAAAGGAAAAAAAAAATCTCAAGAAGCTATTTTGAGCTAAAAGCTGGAAGGAAAGAAGCTAGTCAAGCTGAGCCTTCTGTGCTTTTTTTTCTGTCCATGCTGAAGGCTGAGAAAAGCCTCCTTCACAGTACAAGAACCTCTATACAACTGGGGGAAATGGCAGTTGTGTGGTTACTTTAAAAACACTGCTTTCTGGCAAGTGGGCAGGTACTGACTGTAAGTGCATTTTGTTGCAGGACACTTGCAGATGGGTAGATATTGACTGTGAATGGCATTTTGTGCGGAACACTTATTTTTAAAACCTTTAAATACTTTTATGATATAAGAAAGACATATAAAATCTTTCAAGTACTTTCCCCAAGCCTTAACTTCTTCATCCACCGGCAAGAAAAAAAAAAAAGAAAAAAATTAAAGTTTTCTAATCTTCACTTGAGTTGTCAAATTCCTCCCAGTCTGATACGCTCATAACTTCTGATGGAAAGTCAAGATGATGCTTCATTCGGTCTGCGTGCCATTCTGAGAGCCACTTCTCTGTTTCCATTAAAATAGCCCTGGGCAACGTGAGGACACAGGCAGCCATCCCAGAAATATCATCCTCCAGCTGGGGTCCTTCCTCCCAACAGTCTCTCTCTGCATCGTAAATGTGGACGTAGTCCATGCGGATCCCCCTGTTGTGGGATCTGCCTCCCAAGACATAAATCCTGTTGTCTAAGACCGCGATGCCTGGCTCTCCGTGCCCTGCAGGAAGTGGACATACATTTGTCCACTGATCAGTGCTTGGCTTATAGCAGGCAACCTGTAGAACAAAAAAGAAAAGAGAGAAGGCAAAGCTGGACTTGTATCCTAGTGACAGAGCCTGGCCATAACGTAAACTATTTAGGGAGGAATATCATCAGTTTTTTGACAGTGTGTTGATAATAGAGACAGCATATGAATAACTAATACAAGTACAGTGCTCAGCAGAAAATTGTGCAT